TATAAATGATGGCTTAAAAGATAAAAGGACCTTCTGCAGGCAAGGCAAGAGAGGATACATGAATGGATTAGTAAATATTATTAAAAAATGTAATCTGGCAGACTGGTGTACAGCTGTTCAGAAAAGTTGCAAGAATCCACCCTGGGAAGAACGAGAAGTAGAGTTAGACATAGTGCCTCTCACAATGAAGAAATCATTACATGAACCAGGACAGTTAAGGGCTTTATATGGGAATACGATTAGTAATTTGCCTAAAATAAACACATTGCATGTATATTGTGACGGTTCAGTTATGTCAAGTGGCAGGGCAGGGTGTGGGATCCTTATAAGACAGTACACAGAACAAGGAAATGATGACATCAAAATTGGACTTCGGTTGAGCAGTTTTATATCATCAACACAAGCTGAGTTATATGCAATGTTAGTAGGATTGGAAAATGTTGTAAAGAGGTATAAAGATGCATATTTTTTTGTTGATAATAGGGCAGCTTTGGATTCCTTGAACAGTGGGAGTCCAGTCTTTGAACACATTATTGGTTCATGTAGAAAATTAGTAAATACAATAAGGAAAAATGGCCATAATGTTCAATTTGTATGGGTCCCTTCACATGTAGGCATTGGTCTTAATAAAGCAGTAGATATAATAGCAAAGAGAGCCACGGAAAAGGCCGAGATCGACATAATATGTACTAAAACCTTGAAACAATTAAGGAGCAAATTACGGAAAATACAATCAATAGAAGATGATTTCAAAAGGAATGAAATATACGAGAAAAGTAAAACAATGAAACATTACCATCATGTTCTCATGAACACAAAATTTACATATGGGAAAGATTGGAGTAAGTGGAAAGATTCAGTGTATATGAGGTTAAGATTAGGATATAGATATTATTGGGAACTTGGAGCTGAGAGAAGTGAACAGCATAAAGAATGTAGAGTTTGTAGAACACCCAGATCCCATACCCTGCCACAATATATACTGGAATGCCCATTGCTTAATGTATATAGAAATGACCATATAAATAATGTCCCCATGCAAATAGAGTGGATGTTTAAAAATAGGAAAATAGGTGAAATATTAAAGAAATATAGAAATTTTGCATCTAGAATATAACTATGTACTATAACTGATTATATGAAATATTAGGTATTTATGTGAGTCCTGAGAGGGACATTCCTGGACTGGGGTGGGGATGACTTATGTCACTTCATCCCTTTGAGATGTATTAATGTTTTTTGTATCTCAATAAACGTATCAATCAATCAATCTCTTACAAAACTGTGATTGGTGGAATAAGAGGTAACGTCATCAAATTACGGCCAATAGGAAAACAGAGCAATCAGTCAGCACAACACCCCAACTTAAGTTTTGCTGTTGGATATATATTCTCCTTTTCATTGTTCAGGTTGCGATAATACTGAAAATGCTATGGGCAGTGTGTATATATTTAACGTCATATCTCCCAGAGTTTAAATAATGAAACGAAAATAAATATCCAACAGCAAAGCATAAATTGGGGTGTTGTGCTGACTGATTGCTCTGTTCTCCTATTGGCTGTAATTTGATGACATTACATCTTGCTCCACCAAACACAGTCAAGTAAGGGATTACTGGACGAATGCAAAATGAACGACAAAATTATGAAGTTCTTAGGGCAATGCTGCTTGTGGAAGGGCCCCTGGGGGCGCCATCGCCCCTGGCAGAGACCCTGCCGCCCCTGGAAAGGCACCCACTACGAATAGAAGGTCCCATACCAGCGCTGCCGGCCCTAGGAGGGCCCATAGGGGCGCTGCAGCCCCTGGCAGGGTCATTGGGGGCAGAGGCACCCCATAGAGAGACCCTGGGGGAGACTCTAGCAACTTGCCTACGATTGACGTAAGACTAATGGGACGGTAATTTGATGCAATTGATTTATCACCCTTTTTGAAAATCGGAACTACATTTGCAAGTTTCCAAGCTTCTGGCACTAGGCCCGATTCTAATGACTTATTAAATAAAACTGCTAATGGATTACTCAACTCATCTCTACATTCTTTTAATATTCTAGCATATACCTCGTCTGGACCAGGCGATTTATGAGGCTTCAGTTTGTTAATTACTTTAAGCACATCGTTACTAGTAATATTGATATTCATCAACATATTTTCTATACTGTCGTTATATACCTTATGAACTTCTGGAAACTGTGCTAGGTTTTCATTTGTGAATACGGAGCGAAAATGACTATTTAACGTACTACACATTTCTAACTCATCATCAGTCATTTCTCCTGTCGTAGTTTTAAGGGGACCTATTGTATCTCTAACCTTTGATTTATACAGTTGATAAAAAGCTTTGGGGTTATTTTTCGATTCGTTTGCTACCTTGATTTCATAATTTCTCTTTGCTTTCCTAATTTCTGTTTTTACCTGTCTTGTTAGGTTCTGATAGTAACCAAGTAAGTGATTTTCGCCTTTCTTAACTTTTCTATATACTCCTTTCTTTTTCCCTAGAAGATCTAAGAGTCTATTATTCATCCATTTTGGTTGGTTCCGTATCGATCTGAATTTTCTTTTAGGGATGTGTTTATTTTGAGCATTATGGATTGTCGCAATAAATTGTTCATAAGTAGCTGCTAAATTAAATTCGGGGTTCTCCCGTCCTAAGTTGACAGTTTCCGGAGGTGTGGGGGGGATTAATCTTTTGACCATAGGGTCATCCCTTAGGTCTCTCCTTAAGCTACCGTAATTAGCCTTCCTAAAATCCGGGATCAAGGCCGAATTTTCCTTCTTCCTGCCATTCCATATTATGTTAAAATATATTGCTTTATGATCACTGTTTCCTAGTTCGTCTCCAATCCCAACATCTTTTACTAGATTTTCATTATTACTGAGAACTAAATCGAGGATATTATTTCCTCTAGTGGACGAGTTTATGAATTGATATAAAAAACTATCTTGTACTACTTCTAGAAAATCTTCAGATTCATTATCGATAAGTTGATTTTTCCAATCTAAGCCTGAAAAGTTGAAATCGCCTAGAATACATACATTGTTTCTATCAGATGCCTTCTTTATTTCCTCCCATAGCAATTTACCATCGTTCCTACTCAAATTAGGTGGTCTATATATAACACCAATGACTACGGACTCATTGCCCTCACCAATCTCTACCCAAATACTTTCATTGTCGCTATTTGTTTTAATGTTTGATTTATTGCAGCTTTTTAATGACACCCTGATATACACTGCTACACCGCCCCCTCTCCTTCCTACTCTGTCAAATTTAAATAGGTTATATCCTGGAATATGAAATTCTGCTAAAAAATGTTTGCTGTTTGAATTTATCCATGTTTCCGTTATTGCAATTATATCTATGTTCTCTTTACTAACAATGGCCCTGAGCTGGTCCATTTTGTTACACAGGCTTCTACTATTAGTATAATAAACACTCAATATATTTCTTCAGTTTCTATCTGTTTTACATTTATTACTTTGATGTTTGTTATTATGACTAACTATATTTTCAGCATATCTTGTAGTGGAATTCTCCCCTACAAACGCTGTTTGTCGCTGCCTAGCCGACCCCACCAATTCCCCAGTGTATGCTCCACTACAATCTACTTCTGTTTCACTGCTGTTATTTTCACATGGTATTTTCCTCTCTTTACCATTGATGGGATTTGGACATATTAAAATCCCACCTTTACTACCCTGTCAACTATCTTCGCTAGCACCGCCACCCCCTTCCTACTTAAATGCACCCCATCCCTTGCATACATACTATCATCACCATAGTACAGGCTCCAACTATCAATGAATAGCGTCGACAGCTCTTTACACTGTTCTTCCAACCAGCAATTGAAACCAATTGCACGGGACATCCATTCACGACTGGCACCACGTCTAGGTAGTATAGAGCAAGCAATAGGAGTTCCACCCTTCACCCTAATCTTATCTAGAGCTTCCCTATACAGTTTACGCAGTTCGACACTGGTAAGCTTACCTACGTCATTGCCTCCTGCACTGAGTAAGACTATGGGGTTGTCTCCACAGTCATCAATGACGTTCTCCGCTCTCTCCAGTACTCTACCTATCCCTGCCCCGGGGAGACACTCGAGCTTCCTAACTTTAGTGCAGAGATTGTTACCTAAATACTTCACCATCGAGTCTCCCATGACAGAAACACATTTGACCTTACCTGAGTGTGGTGATTTCTTACCTGCGCTACTCCCTCTCTCCACACTAACAGAGGGAGTAGCACTCGTGGTGTTACTAGCACCTTCCTCACACTCGTCACTTAAGGTGCTGAACCTGTTGTTTAGGTCTACAGCTGAGTGCCTTTTTAGAGTGCATTTTGTAGCACTAGCAGCAACTACCTTCCATGAATCCACTTCAACTTCACCGTCCTTCACGACACTGGCAAAGGTTTTCTTCTCTAAAACTAGCTTCAAGGCTAAGTTTTCGCCCTTGATACTCTGGACCTCCTTCTCAACCTTCTCCAGTCGGTCTTGCAAGGCAAGACAAAGCTGGAGAACGTGAGAGGTGGTCGAGTACTCGTCAGCAGCTGCCATGTCACTATGTCACTAACACTGACAGGAACACAGGTCCGCACTGGCTGAGGGTCAGAGGTCAACTGACTGAGGTTTCTGGCTCTTGCATACATCCTCCTGTCCTGCTGGTCGTTTGATCCAACCCACTTTGTGCTGGACAAGTCGTACCCATCAGAACATGTCAAGTCGTACACAATTTACGAGACAGTTCGATGACCTGTGCCCAGCTAGGCTATTCCCCACAAAAACAAAACAAAAACAAAGTGATTCGCTTGTCTCAAGTTAGGAGAGGATCTATGAAGTTCCTTGTGGTTATTCCCAAGCGTCCACAAATATGACAAGTTGCTGCAAGCTGAAAAAGAAATCTCCATCATCAACTAATAGTCACTGTAATATTACTTCTTATCAATTTATCTGTATAATTCCAACATTGATTTTAATATTGATAAAACCTGCCTGTAACTTGCTCTTCACCTGAATTTCGAGATGTTGCCACCACGTTTGTTTATATTTATTGTGAGACAAAGTGGAGGGAGAAGATCCAGCGTTTCTTAGTTCCATGTTTGTCTCAACAGCTAATTCCTTATACTGTTGACCTGGTGGTGAATTAATTGCATCTACATCAATTGAAGGACCAGGATACAACACTAGAATATGTAAGTGCATATCTCAATTCTTTGAATTAATGCCTTGGTCACTGGTGGTTTGTTTAGCTTACAGAAACAGCAAGCAGGTGATTTTCTATCATTCAATATTGTCCATTATACATATTCAACTTTCATCAATTTGAGGCACCTCAAGACAAGGCGAATGAAATTAAGCAATAGAGTAAATTAAACTGAAGAAGCCAAACGACAGAAAGTGAAGGGGATGAAAGAAAAAAGAAAAGATGATGTAAATATAAGGTCACCAAAAATAAACGAAGTACTACAGTATATTAATTCTTCTACAAACAGCAGCAACTGATTTAATCATGAAAAACGAAAAACAAAGCAAAAATAAGTTTTGCAAGTTTGAATACAGTAGTGATAATGAATGTTTGGAGAAATGCCTAATGGTTAGTTATTCACAGTGGGTATTTTACCGTGACTGGCTAAGTTCCTACTAACGCCATTTTGCCGTGAGTGCACTCTGATTGGCTTAGTACTTTCTGTTTAATATGATGGAGAGGGGGGTCTGCCCCCCTCGGCTAGGAAGTTAGATAAGGTTAGGTAGGGTTCTTTGGTTGGTTGGGTCAGGTTCTAACAGGTAATAAATGTCGCCTCTTTTATAATGGTAAATTGACATAAGAAAATAAGGAGTCTGCAATAGGCCGGTTGGCCTGTGCATGGCAGCTCCTGTCGAGAGTTACTACCACTCTCTATCATCCATGAATCTATCTAGCCTCCTTTTGAAACTTTCCAGAGTTCCCGCACTTACTACAAAGTTGCTAAGCTTGTTCCACTCGTCCACCACCCTATTTGTGAACCAGTTTCTTCCTATCTCTCCTAAACCTAAACTTATCCAACTTGAATCCGTTCCGAGTCCTATCCTGCTCGGATATTATAAGAACTTTATCTATATCCCCTTTATTGATTCCTTTCACCCACTTAAATACTTCTATCATATCTCCCCGCACTCTTCGTCTTTCTAGGGAATGCAAGTTAAGTTTCTTTAACCTATCCTGATATGGAAGGTTTCTAAGTCCCGGAATCATTTTTGTCATTCTTCGCTGCACCGACTCTAGTGATTTTATATCCATTCTATAATAGGGGCACCAGAACTGAACCGCATAATCTAGGTGCGGCCTGACTAGCGCAAGATATAGTTGCAATAAGACCTCTGCACTCCTGTTACTTACACTTCTAGATATAAAACCCAATACAGTACTCTGTTTGCCTTATTTCGAACATTAACGCACTGTTTTCTAGGCCGTAGGTCCTGGCTTACAAGTACCCCTAGGTCTCTTTCACAAGTCGACTTCTCTATACACAACATACACAACAAAAATATGGTTGGGTATGTTTACAGCTACACAATGGTCGACGACGAAATAAAGGTAAATTTGCATTAGTGTACACAACTCTGTTAGAAAGTCAAAACTATGTTTTTCTAGTGTATTTTTGTGTGAGTTGTTGGTTTTGACCTTGATTTCCGTAGGAAATTGCCTGGGTTTTTTTTTTAGTTATCAGGGGTTTTGGGTGGGGTGTTTTCCGACCAAAATTATGGCCAATTGAATACAAAATACACCCAAAAAACACTATAAAAACAGGCATATAAACCTAACCTAACCTAACTCACCATATGATGGAATCACTTATTTCTTATCGTGTTGGTGTGGTTCTGGTTCGTTGTTCAATTCCGAGATTAGTACAAGTGAAAATGGCACTTTCCTAAAAATTTTCCTTTGTAATCACTGACGGTGTACGAACACCAACGTCTCTTCTTTGTCTTGGGAATAAGGAACGAGTTACCACAATTCCACACATGTTGGTTTTGACTATATTTACACTCGTTCTTATACTTAAGACACTTTACTGAGGTTGGGAGAACACCATTGAAATCTAAAAAATAATATAGCTTGTTCGTTTTTCCTAAAAACGCACAATCAACTCCATATAATTAAAGTGACATCCATCGCAGACTTCCAAGGTCGGAAATGAATTTGAATTTTGAAATAGGAGAGACCCAAAATAAAAATCGAATCTGATTGGGCCAAAAATACCGCGAATTAACCACAAATTATTTTAATTAGTGAAAAAAAATGCTTTTGATTGGCCGCGTGACGTGTGCAGGAACGCATGCGCATGACGATTTTTTATGTAAACATGCAGAGGGGGGAGGTGAGGTAGGCGATAATGGCAGAAGATTAATGGAAGAAAATAGAGAAATATCTGGCATGCGCTATCTCTGTTATTATACCTTTGCGACGGTAATGTAATAGAAGAAAATTACCTTAAAATTAGACATCTTATTCGAATATGATAATAGATTTAGGGTAGGAAAGTTGTGTACACTAATGCAAAAATACTGGTTAATATTGACGACTGACCCTTGGACGAGTTATTTGATGTACTGTTTATTTTCATCTGCGAGTCCTGATATGATAATCATTTCTTGTGAAAATGCTTCGTTTTGTTGCTAATTAGGCACCCAGGCACACACTACTTTGTCTTCCCGTCGGTAATGCAGCCGCGCTCTTTGCCGCGCTAGCCTCTCCTGCACCAGTTTCATTTTCAGTATGGCGTGTGAAGGTTGTTGCCGGTCTTGTGCTACAGTTCTAGTGCTTATAAAGGAACTCGGCTTGAAAATACCAAGAATAAACCCAGTATTGTACATTTTTATTTATGAACATCTTTCTAAGAAAGTAGTTTTCACAGCAATACTGTGAAATTGAACTGGGTTTGTGTGTAAAGTCTGTTGTATATGACGTGCTGGAATAAACGCCGATGCAGGCGACTACTCTCACATCCACAAAAAACATAAAATTACACCATATCATAGTAAGTTGTTTACGTTTAATATACCGGGGGGTCTAGGGGGCGGAGCCCTCCGGTAAGGAAGTTAGGTAAGGTTAGGTAGGTTTGTTTGGTTCGGTTGGTGAGGTCTGTTTTTCATACCCACTAAGGTTAGGTTAGGTTTAATTTAGAAATAAGCACTTTTTAGCACATTTGCACAAACTACAACAGTGTCCACTGTAAAAACAATGAAGTTGTGGCTTTTTTCAACTTTTTTTTTTTATGAAAAATCAGTTGCAGGTCAGTCATCAATAATTATCTAAACGCCAAATGCCGCCAGAGTTACAGTCGAATATAGTTCTCTCATTGTTCACCGTTAATTGACAATTAGCCAATCAAGGCACACTCACTGTATAATAGCGTTAGTAGGAACTTACTGGTCATTGCAAAATATCCACTGCCTTGCAATTTACCTTAATTACCTAATGACCACCCACAAGAGGTGGCCAAGCCTAGGGAAGAAGGCCAGTGGCCTATGTAGAATCCCTCCTTGTCAAGGTCTATTTTGAAACCCAGTATACTGTTCATGATTCCACAGCTTGAGCTGGTAGACCATTCCATAAGTGTACCACTCTGCTTGAAAAAGCATTTGGTAAATATTCGTTTTGAGGTCCAATGAAGTTCAGCGACAAGGAAACTTTTTTTAGGGTAATTTTGATGTACTGAACATAAATCTGCTATTTGTTTCTTGTGCAAATGCATAGTTTTCTTTAAGCTACTGTTACGTTACAAAGCGAGTTTTTAACCTGCCTCTGCCATAACAAATTCTTCAGTCTGTTTAATAAGGAAAATTACCTTTAAAGTTCTAACTTACTATTTATTTACAAAAGTACACCTAAGCTGATGACAGAATTTTTTACAAAATAAATACAACAGAAGAAATCAGAAAACTTGAGTAATAATAAATGAATATTAAATCCTAACCATCACACTATAATATTTAACCACTAAATCTTAAACATCACCATATTAATAATAATAATACATCCTAAACATCACCATATAAGATATAATAACTCTGGGGTCTGGAGCAATAAGAGTACACAAACACTCGATACTTATGGTTTAGGAGACAGGAGACCAGATGTTGACTTCCCTGCTTATACTCAGTAACTAACTCTGGACCACACCAGATTTTCCACCTCCCACCAGGACCAATCACAGGGCTCCACATACTATGGTACTAAGACCAGCCAGTTATACCCCAGACTGACTGATGGCCAGTGCCATCTTGTGACAAGAGTCTTCCCCTAAAACTAAGGAAGCAGTTCATCATAACACTACAGGGAGAATAACATATAAACCTAACCTAAACGGCAGCCGTATGCAAAACATTGATGACCATTGGTACTGCAGCCTAATGCGCATGAGTGGTGGGCTGACTATACAATTACTCCACCATGCACAATTATTATTTTATTATTTTATTTTATTAACAGCATGCATTTACAGGGCACTTTTAACCCTTAAGCCCCGGGTTAGGGTGCTGCTGGCAGGGCCCCTCTCCCCCGCATGGATAAATCGATAAAAAAATAAACTTTTCCTAAAATAATAATAAAAAAAATTATGGGAAAATAGGCGGACGCTCTGGAACATCACCCGGGGCGCACTGGTCGGACGTTCTGGAATATCACCTGAGGCCTAAGGGTTAAGCAAGTGCCATGTAAATGTATACTGCTAACTTAAATTTTGTTTTTGGATGGGATTTTTCAGCAAACTGGTGGTCAAAAATACTCGGGGAGGTTATTCTCGAGGTAAGAAAGAAATTATCATCTTCACAAAAAAAATCAAAAGTTGCGAACTCACTATGGTAGTTAACGTGCACCTCCATTCCAGAGTAATCCCCATCATCAATTCATATTTTCATGTGAACCTTAGTTGAGTTTTAGGTTCGTCAAGTGGGACAGTATAGGTGTCTCTACTATAGTAAGTGAAAGTTCATGAGCATATATTTTTTTTAATATTCACACTATACATATTGTGTTTTCATGTAACTGTACAGTATAGGGTATTGTATTTTTTAATTCTTTACTTCAGCTCAAACATCATGTCTCTGGGTCAACTCACTGCAAACTACACAGACTCTGAAGGTGACGATGATGACCATATGAGTGATGACACCTCTCACAAGTCCTCTCCCATGGGGGTGACTAGAATTTCAGAACTACGTGAAGAAGGAAGTCGTCGAGGGACTCCATTCAGTATAGAATCAGGAGGCTCTGGCACAAACACACCACAGAAGAAGGTATTTAAATGGTTTTATTTTACTAAATATTTCATAATGCATACAGTACTGTATATGTCAATAAGAAGTTTTAATGTGGTACAGATACAGTATATATGTTCTACAGTGGGTCCTCTGTTTATAGTGCTTGTTTTTAGGGTCTTACCTTCCAGCATCCCTGACAGATTAGAGAACATGATTCAATTTAAAATTCATTGATTCATTTCAACATTGTTTTCAAAATATAAAAATTTAAATAACATAATGCAAGCAAGTGACAGTACTTCCAACAGCATTCATAATGATGCATAACACCCATCATTGCCACATACACTAGCATCAGCTTTGTCATAAATTTCATCAGCACCTTATTGGTTAAGACCCTGTTATATTTTGTGCATCTGTTGTAAATTACCATTAGCTTTAGCAAAACCCTTCAACTATTTATACAAAACAACCAGCAAGTGATATATTGTTTCCTTTGCATCAAAGAAAGTAATGGAACTGTAAGTTAGCAGTAAGAATGGATGTATTATAGCAACTTGATGACAAACAATGAACTTTGGACAGGGGCAGGGTTCTTTGCTTACCATTTACAGCACTGACAACAATACATGCTAATGTTCATGATATAATGTAGCTACTCAAAGTGTGACCATATTAAGTGTTGATAGAATAACAAAAGGCAGAAATAAGGTAATGGATAATAGGGGACGATTATTAAGTGTGCCTGTGATTTGATATACTGTACAGTATACGTACATTGTTTTATCTGATGTTATATTTTCCAGGAAATTTAATTAAGTAATTATATAAATTTTAAGCATGCAGTATAAAAGTAGTAAAAGGGGTAAAGTAACGATACCACTATATTACTGTATGATACAACCTAAGATACAACACAGACCCTACCACAAACAATGTATCACAGACAGACATATTTGGATATACAGTACAGTGATCCCTCGGTTAACGAGCGCCTCGGTTAACGATTTACCTTCCATAAGATTCTTAACTTCGGTTAACGAGCAATCCCTCGATTAACGAGTTTTTTACGAGCCTACTTCAACATGTTTTCGCTTGCATTTGGCGGTCCACCAGCTGTAGTATTAGTCCGCCAATACAGTAATCGGTTTTAGGGTTTAAATTCCTTACTATTTTAGTAAATATCAAGAAGTTTATACAAGTCAATAATTTTAAAAGTTTAATATTAACTTGTTTAGTCATTTTAACAATTATTGAACATAATTGAAGGTAAAGAATCTAGTTTCTGGCGTGCCATCCAGCCTGTTAACACACCAGACAGGCGTTAGTCTCTCTGTTTTCAGTGGAGGTAACATCTTGCTTGAGACTCTCTTCAACTAAATGCTTTTTATCTGTGTTTCCAAGCAAATTATTGGTCATTTTGAAATTTATTTTACATACCGGGTATTGACAATATATAATGCAGTGCAGTGTTGATTTAAAGAAAATAATCTTGAATTACACCAAGAGAAGTAAAATTTTATGGGTGAAATGGTGCCATGGAATGACTTCTCTTCCACCCCAATGCCTTCTCTTCTCCCTTCTCCTCCACCCCCATTCTAATTCCCATCATCATCATCATCATCATCATCCAGGAGCCTTCTACATACACACCTCAAAGTAAGTGTACTTTTCTACCTTTTTTGTTGAATTTAGGCAATTTTCGGTGAGCTGGAACCAATAACCCAAAAACCCATTGAAACAATGGTTTCGGTTAACGAGTTTTTCGGTTAACGAGCAACCTGCTGGAACGGATTGTGCTCGTTAACCGAGGGACCACTGTATGTGTACTGTACTGTACTGTATATTTATATTCTATGACAGACTAAATATTAGTTTACTTCTTACAGCTTAGCAGACTAGTTTCTTATGCAAATGAAGATGATGAGGATGGGGAAGATATAGACAGAGATGGAGAAGAGGAGGAACCAGATGACAGTAAGTGTTTAATGACACCGGGTTTTTGACCATGTGAATGTACCGTGTGAATGTACCGTATTGCATTGTCACAGTATACTCATAGATCAGGGGTCACCAAACTTTTTTCACAGTGGGCCGGATAACTGAAAGAATGACGAGCGCGGGCCGCATAATCATTCTGTTCAATACTTGCAAGCCAGAACGAAAGCTCTGGTAACGTCAGAGCATAGGCGGAGCCACCACGAGCTGGGGAAGGACTTGCGATCCAGCCCGCGGGCTGTAGTTTGGTGACCCCTGTCATAGATGGATGCCATTTATGTAAGTCTCATCCAGTGTATATTCTGCATAATCAGGGTTGAAAAATAATGAATGTAAAAAAACTAATTTATTTACTGTTGAAAATCTTACTTTTTGGTTACTCGGCATTCAACAAGAGGACCCATCCATCCTCTCATACTCCCCCTTTATTTCCCTTTGAACACATTTATATGTGTGCTTTTATTTGCAGTATGACAAAAGAAGTGGTTTGTGTGGAAGTCATAATTATTATAATTCAAAGAAAAGGAGAAGGTAGTTATATACAGTATATGTGATAAGAAAGAGTAATGGGGAATCTTAATTCTTTCAAAATTTTGTTAAGAAATACGTGGCATTCCATTAACCCTTAAACTGTACTATGGGTAAACCTGGCTACTGTTGTGTGCATAAAAATAAGATAAAAAAAATCTTTTAAAACTACATACAGGGTATTAAAGAAATGTCTGCAAAAGTATGAAGAATTTAATTTTCCTTTGTTTTGCTGTTGTGGAATATTTTGAGTTAGAATGTGGACAAGTGACAACAGGGGTGCTAGAGAGCACACTACCACTAATAGTGATGAACATTCATTTTCGATGATGACTGAAAGGCAACTGAAAGTCCTACTGAAGCATGGGTAGTGTGATGAGGTCTACTGACACGTGATACACTATAACCTTTCCGCGCTAACCTAGCCCATAAGCCACGCCTCTCTTCTATACTAATAGCTGATTGGTTCATAGAAAATTCAAAGTAAATGTGTTTACAATTGGTAAGCAGGCCTTTTATAGCTAAAATAATGTTAATATCTGGACTGTCAAAATGCAAGTCATTTCAAGGCATTAGCACTTCAGAGAGAATGTTAGAAATTTTTAAATATTTATTAGAAAAGGTCGATATAAATACACGCTTATATATGCGCAGTCCGGTGGGAGGTAGAATGCTCGGGGGAACCAGTTGGCTAATTGTAGCTACAGTATAGACGAGGGGCGGGGCTTATGGGCCAGGTTAGCGTGGAAATACTATAGAAAACTACTGTGATCTTGACACATAATTTTAAGACAGTAGTCCGGAAATCTTGATGCATGCCACAGTTTAAAGGTTAAGTAATGTCTGTAATGTGAATGTATTAAAATTAAATGAAGTAACAAAGGAAGAAAGGGTCATCCACAGAACAACATTGTTTATATTTATTTTTGGGGAAGGCCAGAAAATGCAGCCTTTTGACATACACACCTACACAATGTCTCTTATGTTTCAGTATTGAACTCGGAACCCATGGACACAGGCACAGATGAGGGCGAGGATGACAAAACAAAACTTAAAACCCATGGGGTCAAGTTACCTGCACCACCACCTGGAAAGTGTCCCCAGCACTTACAGGTAAACATTTGCATCATCTCTATTATAAGAACCAATACAGGTACTGGACTATGTAGTGCGCAGTATACAAATTTGAAATATCTTTTACTGTATTAAGTGTTTCAATACATATGAATAAGCAAATGGAGAGTTTTCCAGATTTTTTTTTTTTTATGCTATAAGTTGCCAACAGAATGAAAACTTTAATTTTGTGCATTAGTCTTGGTATGCTTGAAGCTTTTACTCAGCATATTTAGTGTCAGTTTATAACTTGTATGGGTAAGAATCCATACATCTCAATCTATTCTGTGGGATCCTATTGGAAAATTGGACTCGTTTAGTGAGAATGCATATTGCTATTTTTTTTTTCAAGAACACATGCAATTCGTTAAGTAGGACTTACCGGGTACTGTATATTGTACAGTATTTCAAAGTGAGATTCATAATACTTAGACTGAGGCAATTTCTGTAGAAACATAACTAATTAACTGTGGGTGTTGATACTCGACCGAAAATACCATAACGCTCATGGTGGTACAGCGGTAATGTGTGTTACAGTATCTCTCACCACTCATTATTGTCACGAGTTCGAGTGAGAAGGGTGTTTTCCAATGTAACTACTAAATATCATAGGTTTCCTCCTGTAATAACACCAGACAAGTAAATTTCTTAGTATGTAGAATGGACCAAATGCCCAAACGGCTAGCAAGCTGATAAGTAGTAAAATGATAATAAAAAAAAAACAAAGCCCAATCAATGGGGGGATAGAAATGCTGGTAGCTATTTAACAAATTATATTCTGCTACAACAATAATCTACTAGTTAGGTTGAAGCAATGTGATGGTTTGGTAATTTTATTGACCAATCAATGGGGAAGTGAAATACCAGCAGCTATAACAAGTTATATTCAGCGTTGGCCTTCTTGTTTGTTTATGTTTACCAGAGATCAGCCATAATGGATTTTCATACTCGGAGCCACACTGTTTTCTGTTCATCTGTACTGGTAAATTTTTTAAGTTTTACTTATGCACCTCATGTATACATAGGCATACCAAAGAGGAGGGGAGCAACAGGGGTTATCACCCTCCCCTTGAGCTAATAAGTTATGCCAAATAAACCATTTTTAACAATATAAAATAATTTATAACGATAACAAAATAAATAAAATAATGACATCACTAATTAAATGGTAAGCTCGTCATGAACACACAGAAAAATATTAATTATCTCGTACATGTTTCAACAATAATGTAACCTCGGTATGTTTTGTTCAAAGTTGCCCCCTTTGGCAAATTTCTGGGTATGCCACTGGATTTTGTTCAAATTTCATACAATTGTATACTTTTTAAATGCTGAGTAATTAATAATTTTAATAATAAGTGTTAATTAATGACCCTTGAAATGAAAATTTTTTAGAATACAACTGCTCCCCGATTTACGACGGTTAACGAAATCTTCAGTTAACGAACGACTCTGTGGAACGAATTGTGTTTGTTAACCGAGGGACCACTGTATTTAAAATGTCAGTTATGCTGTGTCTAAGTTTTAAATCCTTTATATACAGTATACAGTATTTTCTCAAGAATTTAGACTAATTTTACCATTTAAGCACGTTAGTTTCCACTTTCCAGAAAAAGCCATAAGTCGCCCCAAAATCGCCTTACCTTGTGTTTTGGCAGGTGAGGTGTGTATCTAGTTGTGATGTCACAAAGCTTCGCAACTGCAGAGCAGCCGCATAGATTATACAGCTATATAATTATCACAACCGAAACAACCACACGAACTCACATGTTGTCGCGGTAATCACAAATGGTGGTTGAGAACTGAGAAATTCATTGGGCAGTGGGGCCCTCCAACCACTGTGTTACCTTTATATGCAATATGCTACAATAATAGATACACTGAACAATGTTTTTTAGTAACTTGCTTAATTACAGGTGACCATTTGTGACCTTATTCATACATGGTGTAAAATAGTAGTACAGGTTGTACCTCTTTAGTCCGGCAACCTCGGGACCTGACCGGTGCCGGACCATGGAAATTCACCCTTTTCCTGGACAGAAAGTGACTTGCGCTTACGTTAGCACCACTTTCACTGCTTCGTGGTCTCTTTGAAGACATATTGAAGGGTTAAATGTCGTACACTAGCCTCTCAAATTTCTCAAGTTTTTAATTCAACGTTTTTTATTTGGACACAAAAAAAAAAAAACACATAATTTAAAATTTTGACGGCGGAAGCTCGAATTTCGACGGGTTTGAGCGGTCCACCAACGTTTAGGCATGCACAATTGTGTAAACAGCGTCATTTCTCTTATGTACTAAAGATTCATTATTGTTTATTACTGAATGTCTTTTTTATTGAATTAATGTTTATGTGTGCAAAATGAGCAATACAATTCATTAATAATACCTAGAATATTAAAACACACGAGGAAATGAGACAGCATTGTTTTTGTTGATTACAAAACCAGTGACTGACTGGTTCTACATATAAAACAAGAAAATAAGACCCTGGTTGTAGCTGTAGTAAAATTTATTGTAAAAAATTAATATGGTAGTTTTAAGTAATGTTATCTAGTGTTAATAAATAGAACAATAAAAGTAGCAAACCATTAATGTTAAAGAAAACAAGTGAGACTGCGCGTAGGTAAGTGCGCACATGTGAAAAACTTATCGTCATTACTCTACATAAGAATATGAAAGCAACACTTATTTACTGTTCATATATGTTTTAATTAATGTTTCTAATTTTTTTTATTGAATTAATGTTTGTGTGTGCAAAATGACCAATACAATTCATTAATAATTCGTGGAATATTAAAACACACGAGGAGACGAGACGGCTGCCGGCATTGTTTTCGTTAATGTTTACAAAACCAGTGACTGACTGGTTCTACATATAAAACAAGAAAATAAGACCCTGGTTGTAGCTGTAGTAAAATTAATGTAAAAATTAATATGGTTGTTTGAAGTAATGTTATTTAATGTTAATAAATGGAACAATATAAGTAGCTAACCATTAATGTTAAAGAAAAAAGTGAGATCGCATACCGTATGTAGTGCGCACATGTGAAAACATATCGTCATTACTCTACAAAAGAAAATGAAAGCAACACTTATTTACTGTTCATATATATTGAAGGGTTAAATGTTTTACTCTGTATAGACAAACAGAGAGAGAGATCCGAACTGCCGGATGTAAACAAACCTTAATTTCTCCCGGCTTTGTTGTTGTTGTTTTTTACGGGGATTAACCCACCCGGGTACAGGTCACTGACCCACATTGGAGCCTGAGGGGCGAAACTGTAATACTCCTGCAATAATAATAATAATAATAATAATTCAGATAAGTAAAAAAAAAAAAATAGCTGCCTATCTACCTATTGGGCAAACTGAAATCGTTCCGGACCACAGAATGCCGGACTAGAAAGGTACAACCTGTAGTATTGTATTGGACAATCTGATGAACATATTCATAAACCTCTTGTTTTCCCCATTAAAAAGCCAGAATTTGGGGCAAAATATGACTACTTTAATGTACAACTTGTATTCAAATGTACTACGTTAATTACCAAAAAAATTATGTTTAGTGCAAACTATGGGATGTTTATACTTAAATTAATTGCTATCTTACAAGAATTTCAGCAATACAAGTTATATTCTACTAAGTCAAGTCAGGGAAAAGTCATAGGAAGATAAGTTGAAAAGTTCACACAGGTTACAGCATTAATCCAAGATTAAATTTAAACCAAACAACCACAACCATGCAGTTGTGACTTCCTGAAAACCACAACTGCAGAGCTTTGAAATCTAACAACTGTGACATCACTAGTATCTAGCCCATACTCTCAGAATATCCATATTGAGATGAACAAGCATTGGGATAAAGAAAGCCCAATTAAGCATGTTTATTCAGGATCTTTCTGAAATTTTCCTCAAGGACTAACAAGTTTATTTTGTGACTTCCTCCAATTATGAAGAATTGATTCTGGAATTCTCATAGTGGAGCCATATTTTGGTCAAGGCGGCTCTGAACCTTCTCTCCTCTCTTGGGTTCTGTCATGGAGTTTGGCTGAACTGTGGCCTAATGCTAGAAAATCTGGATGGCTGACATGGGGAAGGAAAGCATGAATGCAAGTTGCTCTATCACTAAGACTCAGTAGTATGGTGAACTTCTATCCGCTGATTCCCTAGCAATGCTCCCCCACACAAGCTGCGCCCTCCTCCTGCTCCCCCACTGAGCCAGCTAACTCGTGTGCAAAGAAATGTATATTCCCTTTATGTGTTTGCCCTTAAGAAAATTATTACTTTTACTTTTTTCACAATATTTAGGATGTGTGTGCATGTAACTGAGTAAAAATAAATGAAGAAATTACGTATATCTACCGGAAAAAATGAGTTGAACAAAATTATAACACCTCACAGCTAGGCCCAGTAGCCTGGTGGTTACAGTGACACGTCTAACCTGGCTACAATGCCGCCAGTGATGTTAACAGATGCAAATGTGTAAAGAAAGTTATCTGTAAATCTTCATTTGTATCAGGCATTAATAGATTGTAATGCTTGTAAAAGTTCAGAAATGGTTACTGCTTAGCTATCTCTGAAGAGTTGGGTGTCTGCCGCATGGACGTTAATCGTCTCAGGTTATCATCATCAGTATAGTAGTTATAAATTGAGCTTTTATATTTACAATAATTATTTTCTTAATTAAAAGTGATAATAATGTGTTTAAACAAGCAATAATATATTTTTAATTCTGGAGTTGGGTTTGGTGGAATTTAGCCTACTGGAGACCACAACTTCACATATAGGACATAGGGTGATTTTTTTTGCCATTTTTCAGACAAAAAAGTGTCTTATATACCGTAAAATATGGGATGTGCTACTAAGCCATCCCAAAGCAAAGACATAGTATAGTACCATTAGTTATCATTTATATCTGAAAGAAAGCAAAAGTACAGTAAACCCTTGATAACTCGGCACATATGGGGCTCCGGCCTTGCTGGGTTATCCCAAATTCTGACTCATCAAGGCACTCCCCCCCCCCTACAAAAATACAACAATAACAAATTATCGACCCATACATGTGTACATGTAATTACTAAATAAAAAAGGTAACACTTACAAACACTGCAGGCAAAGAATAAAGCATCATAGTAGGTGACACAGATGCATGTTAGGTGACACAGGCATGGTAGGTGACACAGAGGCATAGTAGGTGACACAGAGGCATGCTAGGTGACACAGAGGCATGGTAGGTGATACAGGTGGCCAGATATGCCGAGATTTTCCCAGATAATTTTACAAATCTCCGCATTTCCTTAGTTTCTGTATACTAATACATTTCGAGACCATATCCATGCCGAGTTACATTATATGAAATTCAGAGCTATCAAATGCCGAGTTATTGAGGGTTTGTACAAAGAAACATTACCAGAGTATTGACAATGATCATTGTACCTGTACAGTACAATAATCTGTTCATTGTTGTTGTACCTTGTATAGTACACAGTATCTAAAATACCCATCTAAATTAGTTTTTGTTTTATTATGAACATTTTACTCATAATAGCTGTTTGGTATATTTAATTGTATCTATGATACAAATTTCAATTGATGTTTGAACTGGTAGGTTGCATGTCTTTCATGTTGAGATAGGTACCATCATACTTTTGCAATTTCTTAAAGTAATTCACAGTGCTCATAATGCCAAGGTACTACAGAAGAATAACACCTTTTGGTGGTACACTACTTTTACTGATATGGTGTTGACATTTAAAGAATTACTGTCTTGTGTAAAAGTTCTTGTATCCATGTAACAAGTTTATCAAACCAAATGCACAGCCGGCTGCGGGAATTCAGTTCAGGGTAGTATATTGATATTTTTGCTTATTTGGAAACATCATTTTGGTAATAAAGATAATGTATATCAATGAATTTCTTGTAGCCTGTGTCTGGAACAATTAAGCTAATTCATTGACAGTACAGTAGTTCCCAGTTAGGGATTTGGATATAAACATTGTCTACTTTTTCCTGCATTACTCTACGAGACCTGCTGGCCAGCCTTGGTGGGTTGTGAATAACAGTATAGTTTTTATTAAAAATATATACTATGTATAACATTTTACATGATTGCACTAGTAGTGTGTATGGGTTGTAATAATAAATATTGCAATAGCTCCCTCATTTATACATTCATATTCTAGCTTAAACTACCCAGATTGTAATATCAACTTAGTTTGAAGACTAACAACTTAATCACAAATTTACACAAAGTTACCAAATACATGTAGATGGGGAGCTGCCTGTGCTGGTGAAAAATACCTGGAAACATTTTCTATGTGTGATAAATAAACCACATATGAACATAATTTGCAAAAGAAAAAAATGAAGGCAAACGACTCCTCACATAATGTTACAGTAAAAGTCCAAAAATCCGGATGCCAGGAATCCGGACCACCTGAGAATCCGGACTTTTCGAAAACTCAAACTTTTTAAATTTAGCGGGCTTTTGTGGGTTACGTGAATGAATGGAGTTGCTTTAAAAAATTAATTTACATAATTCTAATAATAAAAGTAATTGTAAATTATAGGTAGCTAATTTTGTTAGTTTTGTAATTAGCTTGAACTGAAATGTAAAATTTGAGGCACTATAAATCTTTTGTGTGTATGTGTGCATGCGTGAATGCCACAGCTGCACAGCGACAACAAGCGACCACTCGATCGCCACTTTAAAACAAGCAGTCAAACTGACAACGTATGTAATTTTAAGTCCTACTCTTTTCATGTACAGAGTACAAGCCCATAATAATGGCCCCTAAAGTAGATAAACTTCGTTGTGTGAAGAGAAAGAAGAACACATTGAAATTGAGTGACAAACTTGAAATAATTAAGAAACTAAAACGTGGTGTGAGCAATACTGTTCTAATGGAAACATACGACATTGGAAAGTCTACAATTTATGATATAAAAAAGGCAAAGAAAAAAATTCTAGAATTCACAGCTTCTTCTGAGCCTTACATTAAAATTGCTGAAAGAAAAAGTTTACATTGACCCAAATTAGAAAATCTTGATAAAGTGTTGCAAGAATGGTTTTTGTTAAAACGATCAGAAGGTATGGCAATTTCTGGGCCGATGCTTATTGCCAAAGCAAAGTCTTTTAAGGAACAAATGAACATTAAATCAGAGTGCGCATTTAGTGATGGACGGCTTAGGAATTTCAAGACTCGTCATGGTACTAGACAGTTTGTTTATATTTTTGTCTAGTGTTGACTTTATTTTTCTTTAAAACTGCTCCTTTTGATAAATGAAGCATGCTTTATTTGCTAATGGATAAACTATCAAAATGTACCTGTTCATCTCTTCTTTATTCCTCCTTAAATTTTAATTTTAAAAGTACTGCCTGAGAATCCGGAAAACCCGAAAATCCGGACCGATCCAATCCCCAAGCAGTCCGGATTTTTGGACTTCAACTGTATTAACATTCATGACTTTTGTGAAAACTGTAGTAACATAGGATCAGTTCTCTCACTTTGAGTCATAAATTACAAGTGACTTAGTATTTTTAAATGTATTCACTGTATATGAATGGACAAAAATCATAGTCCTACCACTCACCAATATTAATAACATTTGATTCCGATATTTGAGTAATATTTTAAGAGTTTGTATTTTCAATTCTTTCATTTCATAAATAAATTTCATCTTTCCATAGGTGTGAGATTCCACATGAGACACTAACATAAATTAACCCAACAGTCATCAAACATTAATCCATAATAGACAAGCTGAACAATTTACCAATAACTGGCAACTGTCATAGCCCACCAAGCCTGGCCAGTGGATCTGTGACTCATAGAGTAATGGAGGAAAATTAGTCATTGTTTATATCATACATATCATAATGCAGTCATCAATGACACTAAACTTACGGCATAACGTGCAATATCTAAAAAGATATAAAGAAATTCCAAAAAATAGGGTGTTGTCTCCCTGTCTATTAAATTTTATAATCTATGGTAATTCAAGATGCATGCAAATTTTAAAATAGACAAGCAATGAAAAATGTGGGGCTTTCATTTAATGACACTGGAATCTCTTTTGTTGTTGGGACTTAAGATGCAAATGGTTGAGGACGGCGGCTATAACATACTTTCGGTGATAGAAATATATAAGATGAAACCAATCGTTTGGCATTGTGCCCAACCTTTGACAAGCCCAGTCTCTACTCCATATTACAAGGTGGATTTTATGTCAGGTGCAAGATTGTGATTACAACATGTGGACAAGACTTTTTGACAACTGCCAGTTCTTTGTAGTTTTTTGAATTTGTGGAGGTGTGTTTTTGTAGAGATAACCTCTCATGAGTGTAAATAGGCCTATGTTTCAGAAAGGCTTATAGTATTATGAAACATTGTAATTGTAATTAGACGCCATCCAGAGACGTAACCGGCAACTATTGTCAACCAATTGGCTATATAGTTCCAGACACAGGCTACTAGATATTCATTCATAAGTCTCTACTACCAGAGCGACATTGTCAAATCAGCAAAAATGTCAATACAGGCCCAAGTCAAATTCCTGAAGCTGACTGTACAAGTGCTTGTTAGTAAGTAAAGGCTCTATTTCTTGTATATTTAGTTGAAATGGGCATATTAGAAATGTACATTTTAGTTTAGTTTAAGAATTAAATGTTGTACATAAGCCTCAACAAGTATCAATACTTTCTCATTTTTATAGTTACCTTTTTCATGAAAATTAATTTCAGTAGTACCTTGGCCTTTATTATGAATTAAAGTGGGAACACTTAAGTTAAAAAGATATGTAGAGTAGTAATTAAAAAAGACATGTACAGTAATTAAAAAAGATTTTCATAGTGTGTGGAGAGTAACTTTCTTGTGCCATTTGTCCAGGATAAAGTGAATAGGTGTTTGAATGAGGTGCAAAGAGGGAACAAGGACTACAATGCCAAGATTCAAAATAATAAAGAATTTCGAAATCCTGGCATTTATGAGAAGCTAATAGACCTTTTACAACTTGATGAGATGGGGACAAATTATCCACTGGTGAGTTAATTGCATACTTTTTTTACTTTGTTCTAACTTTTGAATTTCATATTTTATTTAACATGATAATTCTTTGTCTCTTCATGCCCACAGATCAAAATAAGGAGAATTTTCTTTTTGCTTTGTCATTCCATCATGTTGGCTTCACTGCAATAATTACAATAGAGTTTTGTACCTAAATACTTAACCCCTGAGTGGTCCAGCTATATATAGTGACATGATGCCCATGTTTTCGATATTTTTACCTTAATTGACCCCAATAACCCTCCAGGACGAACACACCAAAATACTATCTTTATATTTAAACGACCCTAGCGGGTGACATCATTGTCTGTTTTGATTTGTTGTGTGTTTTCCTGTATACGTACTTGGGTTTTTCACATCCCATTTAATTTTAATGCTTCGTTCTGTTAATGGATCTACCTCAGAAAATATGTTCATTACTTGCTCTATGTGAGCAAAGGCTTCTACCAAATGCTTAGTCATAAATTTGTGAGAAGGTGAGGTAGGGGTAATCTGTTGGTGTGTTTGTGTTCTGACCCTGCTCTTGTTCAAGTTGCATAAGTTCTTCATTAGTTAGGTCTTCTCCGTAATTGTTTAATTGCTCCTGAACATTTTCTTCATCAACTTCAAATCCTACAATGTGCTTAGCAAGCTCAACAATATTTCTTTGAATGTTTGGGACACACTCACACACACACACAGGAATTAAGACAACAAGCATCCAGTGAGGGTCTTGTTATGTGACTGCATGGAGGTGAATTAAAAGATCACCTGTTGAGGAGCTTATCTCTTGGCAACACTGGTGCATGTTACACTCCATCTTTCTAATCAACCGTACACCTCTCTGTTTTCTCACTCCATATTTTAAAATCTTATGTAATGTAATGTTGATGGGATACAACTTTGCTCACTTATACTTAACACAATCTCCCTAAAAATACTTAGTTAGCATATTTATTCAAGACATCTTCAGGTCATGAGACCCACTAATCCCCCACCCTACCTCCACCCGAAATTGAGTCAGGTCAGCTTTCGTCTTTATTAAAGATATTTTCAGAAAATGCTCTTGATTTTCAACCTCGGAAATTGTTCCCAAAGCCGTAAATTTTTTAAAAATTCTGGCTTTGGGAATGAATTTCCGGGCCAATTTCAATTCTGGCGATTGGAGTTCCAATTTTGAGGGAATCCAGCTAACGGAGATATTACTGTAATGAGGATGGCATATTGTTGCGGGGAACTTGTGTAGTTGATAATGGAGGATACCCTCTTTCAGGATATGTATGATCCACACTGTTGGGGTAAGGAGTCATATTATGATGAATTAGCACGAGTACAAAAAGAAGAAATGGACAAGAGAGAAAAGGAACGAAAGGATAAGACAAAGGTAAATTTCAAAAATATTGAATCAAACATCTTGGAAAACTTGTGTAGAACATTTGGCTCTATTCAAGAACATGGAGCATTGGGTATCCCTATAGGGAATGCCTACACTGTTGGTGTAATGCATATTTTAGAATAGCTCACTCAAACCGAGGGTCTTGCTCTAGGGCTGATTTACTTATTTTAGCTCATAATAAATTAGTTCAAGTAAAATTATCATACTTATGATACACTTTCACTAAATTCGGATGTTATTATTTAAAGTGTTAATAGATGTAGGTAAGGTTCTAGATTCTAAAAGCTTTCAGAGCTGCAGAGATTTATTAAGTTTCCCCAAGTCCTGATGTATGTATGTAACATGGATGGCCTTGTGTAGTGTGAGATGATGTGGATGTGTACAGTATACCTCTGACAATGAAGTTGATATCTTCACGAAATTTGCTTTGTTCTCGAGAACTTCACTGTCATAGCTAGATTTAGCAATGAAAACAAGAGAATAGCTTCCAATCCTTCATTGTTGTGTATTTTATATATGTAAAAAATGAGCAAAAATTGCTATAATAAACAATAAATAATAATAATAATAATAATACAATAACACACATTTTATGTACAAAAAATAGCTCACTCTGCCTTTGAACCATCCTATGGGTGACACCAAGAGTGGACAAGTTCAGCCAGCTAAGCCCTAGCTGACTTGAGAGAAGCATGGCTGCAATGCTGTGACATCACATGGGGAGAGCATGACGCATCCATACATACGGTTACCTCTCACACAGTACAGTTCACGCTAATGCTCTTCATATCTCTCTTTTTTTTTTAGTTTTATATTATATTTCCTTTATTTCTTAATCATATTAGAGTACTGAAATGATTTTCCCATAACTTTTACAGTTTCATTACATGAATCGGTAGCAACATGCCTAGGCATCTCAAAGCCACAGCTGTTTGGCAACATGTGTTATGTAATGAAGATTGTGCAGGTGTTTATGGGACTTACTTTTACTGAAGATGAAATGGATCACACAATATGCTTTAGAGCATTTATTACACCGGTCAACACAATTTTTCTGGCACAAGGTTTTTAAACGGATTTTAAGTAAATTTGGGGTGCAGAATCCAAATATGACTTTGGTTTTTGTCTATCACATCAGGTTTTTGAGATATACCATATTGCACTTTTGCTGGGAAACGTAAACTTTTGGATCAAAATTGACGGTTTAAACATGTATACATAAATTTTTTCAGCATTATAATTTGTATTTTTCTATAACCAAAAATTGTTAATATCAAATTGGAAAGTTAATGCACATATAATATTTAAATGTAACATTGAAGGGTGAAAAAAAACAATTAATGTACGGTAGAAATAGTGCAAGTATTAAGATCAAGTTACAGTTACATAAACTTCCTCTTTTTGGCCGATCTCTTATGTACAGCTTCTGGAATGTCTCTCATCAAACTCCAGCAGTAGTCCGCCATCATGTTCGAGTCCCATCGACCTTGGTAACGTTCTTCCATTACTTTAATGTCTTGATGAAAGCGCTCCCCTTGCTCCTCGCTCACTTCTCCCAGATTTTCTGGAAACTCGTCCAAGTGACTGTGTAAGTAGTGAACCTTGATACTCATTCTGCATCCAAGTGCTTGTAAACTCAAGAGCAGCTCTTCCACAATTTCTTGATAGTTGTCCGCTTTCTTGTTCCCTAAGAAGTTCCGCACCACATTAGAGAAAGCATTCCAAGTTCTTGCCTGTGCCTCAGTCATTGTTGCAAGGAAGTGTGGATCTCTGAGTAGTGTTCTTATTTGAGGTCCATCAAAAATCCCTGCCTTTTTCTTCTCGTCGCTAAGACTTGGAAAGGTTGAGCATATATATCTGAAACACTCTCCACTATGATCAAGAGCCTTGACGAATTGCTTCATGATACCAAGTTTTATGTGCAGAGGAGGAAGGACAATGTTTTTCCTGTCAACCAGAGGATCGTTAATGATATTCTTGTCACCAGGCGTCAAACTATGTCTTGGTGGCCAATTCTTTTTCACCCAATGGTCTGCTGTAGCCCTGCTGTCCCAGTAGCACAGAAAACAGGGGTATTTTGTGTACCCTCCTTGCTGGCCCAATAGAAAGTTTACCATTTTCAAGTCCACACAAATTAACCATTCATGAGCATGGTATTGCAACCTCTCTAGAACAGTCTTAATGTTTTCATACTCTTCTTTAATTTGTACAGAATGTCCGATTGGAATTGAACCATACTTGTTTCCGTTATGAAGAAGAACACATTTCAAGCTCCTTTTAGAACTGTCAATAAAAAGTCTCCAATCCTTACTATCATATGCTGGTAGTCCCATGGAGAGAAGAAGTCCTTCTACATCATTACAAAAAACAAGCTGGTCATATGAATGAAAGTACTTCCGCAGTTGCTCTTCTCTGTTGCGATAAAAGGAGACACTCGTGCCAGGTTTTAAGAGTCGTTTCTCTTGAAGCCTGGAAGCTAACAATTCAGCAGACTGTTTTGGCAAATTTAGATCTCTGACCAGATCATTCAATTCTGACTGAGTAAACAACGTTGGCTTTTCACAATCTTCACCAGATGGCTTGAAAAGATCAGTCTCTTCATCTTCATCAGTAGAAACAGGTGAATTCCGGTCTATATCCTCAATCTCTGGTAGCTCAGTAAATTCTGGCACGTTACGTTATGGAGCAAATCTGAGATCAGATTTGGATTCAGCACCTTAAAGTTAGTAAAAAACAGTTAAAAGGTTTCATGCCAGAAAAAAAAATATTTTTTTGTAGACCAGTGATTATTGACCATAGTAAGGCACTTTCTGCTCTTTTTCTGAATGACATATTTTACCAATCTCTATCCATCTAGATTTTTTCAATTCATCTGTACCACATCATGAAAATCTGGTTGGCTCTTGACTGCCACTTTCATTACTGCACTGCCTTATTCTTTACTTTTCCAATATGACCATCATCCATACCCTTTTCATCTCTTTAACTTACTTCCTCCTCTTGCATCATCCAATCTAGGCTTGGCTGCTAGCCTACCCAGTAAATTCAAATGTGTGAATCTTAAGACATCATCGACACATACAAAATTATTTGAAGAAAAAAAAATCTGTAAACCGACACACCTGGTGACCAAAATGCTTGTATACCTAATTTTCAATGTCACATACACAGCATCCAAAATGCATGAGTGTGTTAACCCTTAACCCTGAGGTAGGGTGCTGCTGGCAGTACCCCCCACGCGGGGTTAAATCGAGAAAAAAATCAACATTTCCAAAATTATTTAAAAAAAATTAAACAAATAATAATAATAAAAATGGCGGGAAACTAGGCAGACGTTCTGGAACGTCACCCAGGGCGCGCTAGTCGGATGTTCTGGAACATCACCCGGGGCCAATGGGTTAAGCATGAAATGGCAAAGGAAGATACAAAGAGCAGAATATTTATAGTAAAGCAGCTATAGAGGAATGAGTGAGTGTGTTTTTGGTTCTGTTGAGTAAGAAAAATGGTTTACAAGAGTGAAAGAAAATTACTGTACAGTAATCCCGTGTATTCGCAGGTTTTTTAATCGACGTTTTGACCATTCGCAGTATTTTTTACTAAAAAATTATTATACAGTGGGGTATGCTATAACGAACGGTTTTACCTATAAAATTGAGAATGCTATAACGAACGAAACTCCTACAACAAACATTATTTAAAAAAAAAATTTTTTTTTTTACTAATTTTTTGTTTTTTTATTACAAGTATTATTGATATTCCTTATTTCAGGGGTTTAGATGCATATTTATGCACTTTTTTACAATTTTTACAATTTTATATTATATTTTTCAGTGTTTAGTGGTTGTATTTGGGGGCCTGGAACGGATTAATCCTATAACGAACAAGGTTCTAGAACCAATTAGATTCGTTATAGCATACCCCACTGTATATATATATATATATATATATATATATATATATATATATATATATATATATATATATATATATATATATTGAACCCTCACTTTACGCGGTCAATTGAACCCACGGCGGCCCACGTAAAGTGAACAACATAACATATGGGATTAATTGAAATAGAGACCAGGCCGACCCCCAAACTCCACTTTTTCAGACACAATACCTACGTTGTAGTAAAAATAACTTCTTAATTTTATGATGGTATGCACACGCAATTAATAATTAAGAGAAATATCAATAATACTAGGTTTTTTAACACTTACATTAGTAGAAAAGATGGCTGGGCACACGGGGACGGGGGGTTGGTTCCGAGGCAGAGGGCAGATTATTGGCCCTCACCTGTATCACTTGTATCACTATCCACCACAGAGGCTTGTAGGGCCTCTTTGTCAAACCCCTCAAAGTCCATATCCTCACTATCATTATCACTGACCTGGGCCGGCTGTGATGGGTGGCGGGTGAAGAACTCGGTAATGTTTTGATGACTGGGCAACCTTGTGCGCACCCTGCTCGCGCCGCTCTCCGCGTAAAAGGGTACACACACCGTGGAAACTGAGCATTCCGTGTTCGGCAGGGTAACGTGGAAACGCGTAAAGTAGGACCGCGTAAAGCGAGGGTTGACTGTGTATATGTATATATATATGTATATATATATATATATAATTTTCCGCCATTTTTTATATTCCCGTGCGGTGCGGCAAACAGATATCACCCTTTCCTGCCTCAGACACCCGCTGCTCCAAGAAGCCTCAGTCCACACGTGCCTACCCGTACTGTCGTACTGTGAACGCTACTGTTTGTCCTCCCACGTGCGTTCCACATGGCTCCGGGACATAAGCCAGCTCATCAAAGGCAAATATTACTAGCAAAGACTCTAAAGTGACCAAGAGATCAAGAATAGCGATGACCTTAACAGAAAAAAACAGTTTTATTGGTCAAGTTCAGAGGTGTTATGAGCTATGGCTCGAGATGTGGTGAAGACTGACAATTCATTTGTGTCTTTTGTCAGAATACAAGTCTTCAAGTGGAGGAATGTGGGTGGAAGAGGACTGGAGTGACTGCGGGCAGACGCCGGGCAGGGAGAGGCTGGCAATGTGGGTGTTGCCGACCTCAGCGAAATATAAAAATTTTTATTTACTTGTAAATAATTTTTTTTTTTTTTTGTATACAACTGTTTACATTTTTCCATTATTATACTACAATATGATAAGTTTCAAATAATGATGTTTGTAAATGCCAGTACAGTGCATCAGTGAGACTACTGGGCCGTGAGTGGAGAGCATGGCGTGGTTAAGTGCATGACCTACCTGAGATGTTTGGTGGCCACAGGTACAGTGATTCCTAAAAGGGTATTCGCAGTTTTGGCTTTTCGCTGGGTTTCAGGAACGTAATTCCCTCAAAAAACACGGGATTACTGTATATAGAAAATGTAACATTACCTTTCAGAATACTACAATTATTTCATTTCTATAGGTGGATATTATCTCTGGGACCAAGAAGCCATTAGAAGAGGAAGCAAAGAAACGAAAGTCTAGGTTTGATCAGGGAGGTCCATCTAGTAATATTATCAAGCCCATGGTTGCCCCTCCGACCCTCACATCTGTACCATCAGGAACTAAAGCAACCATAGATGCTTTTGGTAGCCTCAAAAAAACTAAGTAAACTAGACAGTAGGTTTCATTAGGTACTGTATTGTGGTCTTGACTTCAGTACTGTAGTAGGCAATCTTTATTACAAAACTGAAATGGTCTTGATATAATTTTTTATGCAGTGGCCTTTCAGCCATCACCCGTTGAATAGCCTGGTAGTGTCTGCAGCCGGGACAGCTACATAGACTTCCAGGCTATTCAGCTATGAACCCATGAGCCATTAACGGTTGACTAGCATGGAAGTCTACGCAGCCAGAACTGGACGGCTGCATAGAAAACCAGGTTATTCAACCAGTGATGGTTTATGGCTTATGGGTTCATGGCTGAATAGCCTGGCTATCTATGTGCCTGTCATAACTGCTTAGAGTACCAGACTATTCAACAGGTGACGGCTGAACAGCCACTGCATTTTTTTTATTATCCTATTGATTGATAAAATTTTCCTTCAGGAACCTTCAAATAAAAAATTATGTCCATAATGACAATTTCAACCCATGTAGATAACTTAAAAGTGGAATTGGTCATAATCTCAATGATAATAAAATCTCAAAATATTATGTTTCTTTATGACAAATTCAATACTCTTTTTCAGTAAAAGCTATACATTATTGGATATAGTATCATATTATATTTGTATATTTTACATAATGTAAAAATATAAAAGTATTTACATATCTACACATGAACCTGAAAGAAAAAACTTCTTCCTGTATACAGTACATATAAAATCTCTATAGATAAAACAAATATAAATGCTGGGTGATTAAATGTATACTTGTATGGTCTTTAGCTACCAAAGATTCAGGCCATGATAAATTTCTTCACAAGGAGGAAACAAGGCTGTTCCAGAATTCAGACACCCAATTGGGAGATTCCATTTTAAGGAGAAACTCATAAAAATCAAATATACTCCCTTTTCAGCACTAATTTCATATTGATGTACCTTAAATTAATAGCGAATCGGTAATAATTTTAAATGTAAAATGAGGGTGCATGTAATTAGAAGTAAATACTAATGCACAGTCTTAGAGATGAAGTTCAATCCTGCAATAAATAATGAAATGATGCCTTAATATTATAAAATCTAGTGCCAGAGCATTGCACACATTTTGTCATTTACATTCATACAAACTAACTGACATTTCTATACATGACTTCTATTTTTTTATTTATAATGTGGTTCCTCTAAGATAAATCATTTATCTCCTTTGCCCTCAACTTATTTCATTTCTGTAATTTATGAATCCTTTACAAAACTTAATGTAACCAAGCATATGGTTTCCACTGAGGAATTATAATCCTTCGAAAATATGATCTACAAACTGAGCCGATACATTAAAGACTACCTGAAAAGTCTACAATTATCTATTGCAAGGTGAATCTTTTCAGAAATATTTTATTTTATGCAATGTGACACTCCAAGAATAAATTGTTTTTGTGGTTCAGTAACTTGTCATTACACTAAATCCTCTCAATAATGAAATAATTGATTCAAGGCTGTTCTGTTTTAGCAAATTTTCCACTTACTCGGACACTTCCAACAACTGGAGATTTACTCACAATACTGTATAAACAAAATTCCATTTACATATACAGCACTTTCTTATCAAGCTTTTTTTTTAAACAAAATCCATCTCAATTCCTTTTATTGGAGGAATTCAATTATCAAAATTCTATTATTGAGAAGATTTATTATATAAATTTTACCTATAATGTAAGAGTACATTAAATAACATGTGAAATTTGCTTTGCTTGCTATTTAAACATACAATATTAACAACCTTTTTAGTTTGTTAAAATCTTTTACATTAATTACCCGTTTAATAATTTTATATTATAGGTATCCCTTGCTATATAAATGGGTTGGGTTCCGAGAAAAACGTTCTTTAAGTGAATATTCTTACCTAACATTAAAAAATTATTAAAATATAAATTTTATTAATTACTTTAAGGGAGGGTAGTCAGGGCTCACCACATGGATGAGGAGTGGACTCCATAAGGGCCACCAGTCATATAAGTGAGAATAGCTTTCATATGCAGTAGTGAGAAAGAGGTGTTAAGAATACAGGTACTCCCCGACTTACGACGGAGTTAGGGACCGACATCCAGGTCGTAAGTCGGAAATGCTTAAATAGCACATAGAAAATCGAAAATTTGGGTCTCCTTTTCTTCTCAGCACCACAAAACACTCACTTTTAAGCTTGCCAGCCATTTTAAAGTGAATTACAGATGAAAATTTTGTCCGTGTACTGACTTTAAAATACATAATTTGACCACATTTTGGTATGACTGAGGCAGGTCGTAAGTGCGGGTGGACGTAAGTCGAGTCGGCCGTAAGTCGGGGAGTACCTGTACGTAGAATACAGGGGGGCCCCAAATTCGCGGGGTTTAGGTTCTCAAAATGGTCGCGAATCACCAAAACCGTGAATAACATTTGCGGACTGGAGGGTGGGGTACATTTTTACTTGTGTACAAAGAAATGTATATTCCCTTTATGTGTTTGCCCTTAGGACAATTATTTCTTTTACCTGTAGTATTGTATGTGTGTGTGTGTATGTGTAGACACACACGCACTAAACACATACAAATAAACAATAATTGGAAAATCCCCTCACAAATAATCAGAAACAAATTTATTAAAAATGTGAGTCTACCCTCAAGTCTGTGCTCTATTACTTTATTAATAGAGCACGGACTTGAGGGTAGACTAACAATTTTAATAAATTTGTTTCTGATTATTTGTGAGGGGATTTTCCAATTATTATTTATTTGTACATGTTTTGCATGGGTGTATCTACACACACACACACACACACATATATTTACAATAATACAGGTAAAGGAAATTATTGTCTCTATAACGAATGGCTCCCTGTCCCAGCCGCAAAAATGCCGGCAACTTTAAAACTACCCTCAGACATTCTTGGGTACATCCAGGGTGTCATCCGCGAGTAACAGAGAACCGCAAAGTAAAAATCCACAAACTTGGGGGACCCCCTGTATTCATATACCCGGTAAGCAATTACAGTAATCGTAGAGCGAACGCTCATACAGAAAGGGATACCTGTACAGTATTTCTAACCACCTCATTCTTCTGTATTTTAGTACAATAACTTACTATAAAATTTATTTAAAATATAGTCATATATAAAACTATCATACATTATGTTTGCTGCTGTGCATATTTGTGACACTAAAAACTGAGATCATTAGAAACATTCTGATGGATATGCAGTATAATTTTACTGGAAAAAAATCAGAGCAACAATGAAAACTTCCTTGACACTCATACTTTGCACATAGTTATGGTACTGTGAGATTCTATATGATATATAGCAAATTCTCTCATAAACATACCAAGTTAGGACTAAGGCCCAATTATATTTGCAGAACAGCAAATTCAAATGAATTGGATCTACATTCTAATTCTATTTTCTTAAATTGGTCTACCTAATTTGAGGACGTAACTTTTTCCATCTATGGATGGGTATGCCTTAACATACTTAAGATGATGTCAACTACGGCATCAGCAGTGTTAGACTTCATAGGAATCAAAAGGCCATTTCCAGTAACAACATTGTCAACACTGCTAAGTCTACCAAAGTTGGCAGTTATTAAGGATTTCATTTGCATATTTCACAACTTACTTTCTGAGACAACAATTCAATTCATTGATACTCTTTATGGTGCATTAGGTAAATATTATACATGTGAGCTAAACCATTCATTAGCCACAGCTGATTTCATGAATAAGATAGATAAAAAACTTTAAATTAAAGATATCAATAAATATACTACACCATCACTTCATGAATACCTACATTATACAATACTAATATATAAATAATCTGTAAAAATGATCCTGTAATCCCTTTACATGGTAGAGCCAGAAATTCTTAAAAGTTCTTAAAAATGGCCCCCTATTGGCAGCCACGGTTAATCTGTTTTATTACATTTGAAAATACTGATCACCTCTTCCTTCTTCCTGAACTGAGAACATCAAATGAGAGTGACAGGAGTTCTAGAGTTCCCAGAAAAGACAGACATGTACTGTCAGAGTTAATTCTGAATCTCCCCTGAGGAACATGATGTGCACATAACATACTGACCAGTCAAAAATAGTAGGAATTAAAAACCAAAGGAGGTAGAATCCCAAAAGGATACCATTACAAAAAAATTAAAATACAATAAAAATTAAAAATATAATTATAATAAAATAAATAAATATATAAATATCCCTTTGTGATTAATCATCAAACTAGCACTATTCACCTCCACCTCTGGTTAGACATGGGAAACTACCATAAGTTGCCTTAGACAATCCAAATAAGAAACTATGAGGATGATGGAAGAAAGTCTTCTACTCAACTTGTAGGTGAAAGCCAGAAAGAAATAGCAAGAAGCTTTGGGCAAAATCAGGTGAGAAAAACATACCAAGGTTAAAGTTGACCCATAAGCCCAACTGGCTGTAGCGATTAATATAGAAATAACATACTAAGAACCTAACCTCCAAAACAAAAAGGTAGAGGCATTGCCACTTTTCTGTATAACTTCCATAACTATGCAACTAGATACCCATTCATTGCAGAGTCGACAAAAAAATATCAAAGCTGTAAATTACAGTAGCTACACCATGGTCTCAGCCACCCATCATATTTCATCACGCATGACCCATCATGTAATAGTTCAAAAGATTTATCAGTAATTAAATTTTTTACCCATCACATGCTTGGAGGCTATATTCAAGACATGTATTTATGTTTTTTATAATGTCTTATGTATTCATATATTTGAACCATTATCATGTAATACAGTACATACAAATCATTATATTACAGTATGTTAGAATGCATAACATAATGTAAATATACTGTACATGTACATGTTCAGTAGCTACTTGTATACTGTATTATGTGTACTGTATACTACAATACATACATAAAAGTATACATTTACTTTACCTGATAATGTTGATACATGTGACTCATTGCCTGGAAAACACCACCACCTGATGATAATTTATTCCCTCCATGGATGTACTCCAACTTCATGTTCCTCTAAGTCGCCACATTCCTCACTTTCTATGTTATCCCCTGACAAAGAGTCATTGTCAAGGTCTTCCTGGTTGGGGATATATTCTTCACCACTTGAATCACCACCAACATCCCATGATTCTGCCATTTTTACTGCAAGAATGTAAGACACCACATAAAAAATCCTTCCACTTCTGAGGAAAATAGGAGACTGCAGTGGAACAATGGTTGAGCCCACAGGAAGCCATGACGTCCTTGGCTGGTCCTAGAGTGGGTGGCACTAATATTGCTCCCTGTAGCATATAAGAGACAGTGAGGAAGTGCCAAGACTGATACAGCAAACCTGCCACTCTAGGCCTCCCATGATGGACCAATTACATCAACGTGGCAAAGAGGTTAAGACATGAAACAACCACCAGTCTGTTCCACTACCAAATTCCTTGGAGTTGGATCCAGTAAGGGCAGCCTCACTATGTGGTCAGTTGCAATACATTTGCCTATGTCAGCCAAAGATTGCTATTTCTCTCTGGTCATCAAGTTATCAAATAGATTTTCCCAATGAAAAGATAAGTTAAATACTGGGAGTTAAGAATTATCAGCTACCCAGAGATTACACCCCAAGAAATAATCCAACCAACACTAGCACCTCTTTAGACAGCAACACCTTATCCCTATACAGCAAAGTACATCTACTAGAGCACTCAAAGCCCAGAAATTCTTAGATCTTAAAGCAAGAAAGTGCAAAGTTCTCATGGGAATAGATTAAGAGATCCACTATGAAAAATTGTGAAATCCTCTTTGTTTTTCAAAATCATGGGTTACCAAGTTGATGGGACATTTTGCTTGTTTACAAAACAAGCAAAATGTCTCATCAACTTGGTAACCCATGATTTTGAAAAACAAAGAGGAACCAAAGGTCATAAAAAGGGTTTGGGAAACCTGGAAAACAATTTTTGCCTTAAATATCACTGAGGAATAAAATTCTCAGCCCAGGTAAGATGTATGCATCTACTGTAAAATAATTGCACTTTAAAGCACCTTATGTCATATAGCCTACCGGTATTCTTCCACTACATGTACTGTACTTGCAAAAGAAAAATTTCACTAAAAAGTCCCTGAATTCCTAGCTTTCATCCACGATTTTTACTTTCCACTAAATACAAGCTTTCTCTGTAAAAAGGTCTGGCATCCTCCCTGAATCATCAACAGTAAACCTAGCTAAAAAAGTATGACCACATATGAATTAGACTTTCATAATTTGCATAATATATGTTCAGAAAGGATTAACTGTCCATAAAGATGATCCAGAAAAGTACCTATTATTGTACTGAACAAATTAACAGTAACTGGTGACAGTTTTAAGACCCCCAGAGCTAGCTCTAATGAAGTTTTCAGCCCTCCTTGCAATGAGGCTAGTGGCAGAAGGGAAAGAGAGAGGTGAACAGTACTGTATATTCAAATACGTTAACAAATTAATCCTGGCAGTCATTGGGACCCTGTCTAGGGACTTAAGAAGTCATTACCCAGTAATAAAACCTGAATGCCTCATATAGAATCTTCACACACATAAGAATCATGGCACATATTCTATCAGCAGAACTTTCATGGGACATACTCCCTCACTTTTTTTCTTAATCTTACTTATGATTTTCTCTATCTCTAATTAAGTTAACTTTCTTTCATACATCTTCATACCCCCTTTGCACAGGTTCACAACACTTTAACTTCTTTTTTATTTCTTTCTTTACCACTATGATGGACTAGGGGAGATACACATGACATAGTGTCCTTTAAAGGACAATACAACTGACAAAAACTATTCTTAACACTTTAATTCCTCTACTCAACACATGCCTGACATTCACCCAACACATACTATCCTTCAATACAGGTATACTTCCATAAAAGACCTCTGGGAGTGACCAGGGTTGTCACTGAATATTTAAGGTCCATTAGCTTTTCACCCTTGTGAAGCAGGGGTTTCATTAACAGCAAAGCCACTTATTTTCTAATTATTCTTGCCAAGTACACCATGGATATTTAATTTGGAAATACCTGTATAAGAAATGACATGATGCAACTGGGGTTGAAAGGTGGGTGGATAATGGATTGGATTTCACTGGTACACTGATCATGGAAATAGAATTATATAAGACAGTGAAAATATGGATCATCTGGCATGAGGGGAGATGCAGACTAGGTAAGGAACACATTATTAATGAGGAGAATAGCTTTAGATTGTGAGCAATGCTCCTAGTGAAGGCAGACATGCCAGTGGAATGGCTGGAACAAACACCAAACTGGGTGCCAGAAAGGAGTTGGTGTTCTACAGTACTGTATTCATATAGTAGTTGGTTTATGATAAAATTCCATGACTTTGGAGTTGATCAAAGTGAAAGGTATGTGACAATAAATAGAGAAGAGGACAGATCACAACTTTTGGGGAACAGTATTAGATGAAAACGTGTGACTGAATTTTTTTGAAAGGACCAGATAATAAAGGCATTTTTTTTTTTTAAGATGGGGAGTAGATGTCCTGTCCTAAATGTTTTGGGCATCGTTAAGTAAGTGCTGATGACCCCATACCTTGTCAGCCCATGTACAGCCTAAATTTATCCATCATTTCATATTTATCAACTGTATAATCTGGGGATTAGTTTTCAAGTAATATGACCAGAGCTAACTCTAGAATGAACGATGCAAACATGCAATAAAATTCAATGAGGAAAATCAGTGACTGATTGCTGCCTGAAGAACACACTGACCACACATGAATAGCACGTAAAGAGCACAAACCTGGCATGAAGTGGAGCTGGCTCACATTCAAGCTAAACCTGCTCATCTAAACCTTTGTAGCCCCAATAACTGCCCAAATTATAGTTGTTCTAGAGCTAGTATGCTTTGATCCAAAGGTGGATACCATGGAATCCTTTGCTGAGTGCAAACAAATGACTACTAACTACACTTGATGACACTGACAACTTCCACAAGCTGTTGCCTTGTGTTCAGAGGTCTCTGTGCTGAATGAAATCGTCTGGCATTAACCAAATAAACATTAAACGTAGTGAAGGGCTTAATGAAGAAGATTAGGATGTCTATAATTTCTAAGGGTGGTACACTACCTGACAGAATATGCAAGACAATATTTTGCATGGATCCATGCTAAAAGTTGCAAGTAAATTGTAGTTAAAATTCCCTTAAACTATCCCAGTCAGCTCTACCATAGTGCCAAATAGTGTGTGTGCAAAAATAAGACAAGTGATCAGGAGAACACTTGTGAAGAAGAGATCATTTTGTTTCCAGGGTGGTCAGTGATTCATGCTGGGTTACGAACTAGCTGGGCGAGGTCATTCTTCATTTAAAGACTTCTGCATTGGTTTGTCTGTATGTTCAAGTGTAGGTGAGCCAGCAAGTATTCCATACACTAAAATCACCAAGAAAGTAACTTCAGTAGAGAGACTGGAGGACACAATGCTTTCAATTTCAGAGATTAACCCTTCACTTCGGGGACACCACTTCAAATATTCTACAATATTTAGCTAACACCAGATGATTTTATTCAGCTCAGAGGGGACCCCATACACAAGCAGTTAAGAAGTCATGAGTCCAGGATCAGCATAGTTGGGGAACCATGTAAATGCAATAGATAAAGATTCGTTATTTTGGGGAGTGAAAGTTTAAGCTAGAGCATATCATATTTGGGGGGAAGGGGTGGCCTAAGGGTTTGGCTGATGGAAGCAGGAGACATCAGAATAGATGTGCCTCCCTCTTAATGGAAAAAGACAGAGATGAATATAGTTATAACTTAAGTTGGATGAAGGTTATTACCTGGGGAAACCAGAGTTTCTGTGAGAAACTGGTGGGGAGATGATGATTGAAATATGAAAATATATATGGTTTATATTAGTATGGAGGTTTTCCAGGTGCAAATTTGAAAAATTACAGGTACGTTAAATTGGTATTTATGAAGACAGAATAACAAAATTAGATGTTTTCAATAATATGTATACGTATACTATTGGAAAATTTAAAGATGACATAAATGATATTATTCAAGAAATTGAAGACCCATTTGCGACCCACCCCAAGCCTAGTGATGAACATCAGCAAAGACCTTGACACCCCCCACCCATCCATATTTTTTCTTCGAATTTGTGTGATTCACGTGGGTCAACCTGGACGGTCCAAAAAAGCTGGAAATCTGGCAAAAACCCAAAAATCACACTCCTGATCCACCTATATATGACTCATAATTAATATGTGGAATAATCCATTTAAATAAAATCACTTAATTATAAGAATAATTCATCTCTGACAATATTCATTGCAGAATTAGTAGGTATAACCTGTAATATTTGGTAATTTCATCGCTAACATGAAATATGATAGGTACACAAACAATTGTTCTGAAAAGTTTAATTACTTACCTATTACTGCACAGTATATAGTTCAGTTGCAGAAATATGTTCCTCCACACCCTGTGATAACCTGTGCCTCCAAATGGCAACATTGCAGTAGTAGTATCACTGTTTATGAATGAATGGGTATTGGTCGTGTAACGATGGACGTGATTGGTGGATGGGTTTTCTATAGGTCATATAGGTTGGCCGTTTGGAGACACGGGTTACCACAGAGGGTGTAGGAACACATTTCTACAACTGTACACCATTAATTTATGATAAGATTGCTGCCAAAATAACAATATTTTGAAGTTGAACTGAATTCACATCAAATTGCAGGTTTATTCGTAATATTCCCAGGCTTTTCCAGGTTTTCCAGCCCCAAATAAATTCCCTGCCTTTTCCAGGTTTTCCAGGCCAGCAGACACCCTGTGTATTAACCAATTGTTAAAACAGGGTTGAAGGTAGTTGAGGATTTTGGCAAGATGGCTGAAGATGATTATTAGCTACAGTTAGCTCTTCTACTATTGTTCAGTCATTATGATGATGCATAAATGAAGAGTTGTGAAAAAATAAGTATGCCCAGCTATTCAATCAATGAGTGAAATCATCTGAATATGGCAATGGCTTCAGGAACCCCTGCCTCCTCAAAGAGAGCAGCAAAGGCCCATCCAGTTGCAGACTGGCATTGCTACTATTCTGGGATTATTCACTTGCTGATTGGACAGCCTCCTTATGTGATACTACACTACAAGGTTCATTCCCATATACTCTTAGCTCCTTTTAATACTGTTAATCTGATTAAGTATTGCTTGATGACTCAACTTTTGGCATTTGATTCCACTCTTTCTATACTTCAGACATATCTATCAGATCATTTCCAATATGTTGTAGTTAGAGGATTGGTAACTAAAGCTGCCTCTTGGTAGTTTGGAGTAACACTGAGATAAATTTTGGGTCCAAGAGATCAAAAAAAATTATCATTTATACTTGCAGCTTTGTCTCTTTATTGAGGGGACATAATTTTAATTGTCCCTTTTATGTGGATGATATAAAGACCTATGAGCCAATGAAGAATGAGGATAAAGGACAAATTTGTACCTCTTTTGTCTAACATACACATTTGGACGATAAGGAGAAAACTGAAGTTGACTGTTTAAACTGATACAATCTTTCTCTGGAGCAATATGGTTGCTGATTTTGGTTCACTGGATTTAGAAGGTGCAAGGCTTGGTCCCAAGCATTTTGGTTTCCTGATACTGTACTCAAGTGTCATGTAATTATTTGTGAGTTAGCTTGCAAAGTGTCAATTGAAGAAGGGCCTCTCTGCCCTGAATAAAATGATTAAGCTTGGATAATTAAATTACTTCTACCAAGAGCTCACACCACTCCATTGCTCATAAAATTGCACTGGATTTCTATTAAAACTAGAACTTAATTCATATTGTGCACAATGACCTTTCCAGTCCATAAGATTTGCGAGTCAAAATATTTTGTCACTCTTTTGTCAACTAAGATTGTTGGCTGAGAGCCCAACTATTCTTTGCTGTTAAATCTTTTTCCAACACAGCATTTCAATTGTACGACTGATTGCCTATCTCCACGCAGCATCTGGACTGGGTACAGACTTTCAAAAATCAACATTTGATCCTGTTGATAAATGAAGATTTTAAGCTCTAATGATAATGCATTTTTAAATAATTGTTGCTGGTACAATATTGTAATGTGCCCTTGCAGTCCATCTATTAAATGATTTTGTACACTGAACACATATGGACTTTTTCTCTTGAACAGAACTGGCATCTCTGATAAATAAAACACGAACTAATATCAGTATTATTATTATTAGGTGTGCATGCTGAAAAGCCATGTTTCCAACCTGTATCATCTGTCAGTAGAGACTTTTCAGTGCCAAGGAAAACAAAGTATACTTGGGAACTGAGCCGAAAAGTGATAGACAGTAAGGAAAGGTGTATGAGGAGAGAGAGCAAAGTAGACTAAAGAAGTTGTTTAAGATATTGGTTAGGTTTAAATTTCCATCATAAAACTGTGTTTCTCTAACATATTCATTCCATACTATAACCACTTCAGCAACACAGGAGTACTGTACTGTACTGTACTGTACTGTACTGCACTGTATATGTATGAAGAGACTTTTTTATGCCTCTGACTCCGAGGGCCTGATACACAAGAAACCTTATAATCTATCCATTTACCTATCTTTCTACTGACCTTAATGAGCTTCAAACTAAATATTGTGGAACAGGTAGGCTTTCAGCACCTTCAAGGGGAATTTCAGTTTGTAGCAAATATTTCCAAGGTCTTATCAACAATAACTGAGTGCATTTTCTAATTTACAAATTTTATTTAATTATTAATTCGATCATTAAGACAACGTGCATCTAAAAAATGCCTTAGTGTAACAGCTCAGATTATTGGGTAACTTGCCAATGCCTCGGTCCCAAGTGAACTGTTGATGTTTCAGGTTCACAAGTACTGTACTTTATTAGTGCCTTAAATATGCAAGAGTCCTATCATTGCCTTAGATTTGCCAGAAACCTGTCAATACCTTAAATTTACAAAAAACCTATTAGTGCCTCGACTTGCTTGAACTTATCAGTGCCTTTGTCACAAAGACCTATGAATACCTTAGATTTACAGATGATTATCTACTGCTGATGATGCCGCTGTTGCAAGTGTTGCTGGGGGTTATGCTGGTGTTGATGGGAACTTGTGTGGTGCTGGTGATAATGAAGGAGTTGTGGCAAATTATGGTAATTTGGTGCTTTGTGAAGTGAAACAGGCTGAAGATGACTGTGTGAACTGGTACTCAATGTAGCGAGTGATGTGGACACTGATGTCGGGGTGGCTGGAGAGATCTGGCTCACCAGCGGATGTTTATGAAGAGACAAGGGATGCGACATATTCTGAAATTTGGAAACAAGACATCATATTTACAGAGAATATATCTTCAATGAAAAACTTTGATATTAATATACTAAGATAACTAGTAAATATAACTTCTTTCATATCAGACCAGCAAATTCATATTTCTAAACATTGAAAATATTAGTTAGAAATACATAAAAAAATGAGATCATAAACTTATTTCAGAATTCCCAAATACTGAATCGTTTTTTGACCATACATACCAACGGAAAAAATCTGGTTGCTGTATATACTCGTATAAAAACATATGTCCTGTATAATCCAACCCCTGATTTTTTCATATACTGTACTGTACAGTACATTCCGGGGAAAGAGTGGGGGGAGGGGGTACATTTTTACTCGTGTGCAAAGAAATGTATATTCCCTTTATGCGTTTGCCATGAGGACAATTATTTTTGCTCACACACACACTACATCCTTGACCATCGTAGGGTCGAGACCTATTCAGGCGCTGCTCCTGCTGAGCAGCGGCCCCCCTTGGACAATGTTCGGCCCATTCCCCAAGTCCCTCTCCCCGATCCATCCTCACCACCGGGATATCAACATAATCAAAAGTGACAATTTCGTTTCGGAAAGAAGTGGGATCAGTGTTGAACAGTGATGAACAGTGTTTAAGCCAGTGAATTCAGCACTAGACAGTACCAGTGAGAGCCGTGACCCACCAGTGGGATAAGCACCCCTGGGAACTGACCGCCGTCTTCTGACCAGGAGGTGCTAATCAGTCCACCATGGGAACAACAGAGGGCCGGCCAGCTATGCACCTGACTACGAGATAACATAACACTACCCAGCAGGGCGAGGTACTGTGACACCACCCCACACCACCCGGTGTCCCCATGACCACGTGAGGTCCTTCATATCAACACCCGAGGACGAGTTACTGCACCACGTGAACACCACACCACCCACTGTCTCCATGACCATGTGAAGTCCTTCATTTCAACACCCGAGGATGAGTTACCCTACTATACTATGTGAACTCCACACCACCTGGTGTCTCCATGACCATGTTAGGTCCTTCATATCAACACCCGAGGACGAGTTACTACACCATGTGAACACCACACCACCTGGTGTCTCCATGACCAGCCCAGGCCCGGGCCATCAACTGTAAACTATAATAATTTTTATGTTCAATCATTGTTCCTTCTCCTTTCAGTAATGAAAGCTTTCGTTAAACGACCCACCCACCCCATGTCTTTGTATGCAATAAGTCATTTTTGTCCAATGTATATTTTCAGCCTTCAGGCTGCTGAAATTTTTCAATAAACCGTTAATTATTATTATTATTATTACACATGGACCAATACCAACCACCTCAACCAATGCTTCCTATCGGGTGTAGCACACACCTATCAGTGCTCTGGTCTCCAGCTGCCACTACCAGCCAAGTACAGAGGCTCTACATCAAGACCTACAGGCCGATTACTGAGTCTGGAGTGCATCTCTTCGGGCAGTGAATAGTTCACCATCCCCGGACTGAAGTACTTAGTATGGATGACATGGACACCAAATGGATAAATTATACCAACACCACCACGGAAGCTTACCCCCACTTCTTCCCAGAGAAGTCCGTCAGATCACACCCAGCTAACTTGCCCTGGATCACACTGTGGATCAAAAGACTTATGCAACAGAGAGACAGCGCCTTTTACCTCAATGACCACAACCACTACAGGTCCCTTCGCAACCAAGTCATCCCCGAAATACTCACCGCAAAGAAATCCCACTACCCAACCAAGTTGCAACACTTGAAGCAGACCAACAACAGTCAGTGGTATGGTAAGCTTAAAATACTCTGTGGACTAAACAATAAGACACAACCCCTTCCCTTCCTTAGCCATCTCACTAATGTTGACGCAGTTGAGCAATCAAACAACCATTTCGCAACAATTTGTCAGACGCTCCCCTGGCTTGACACAACCAGTCTCCCTGCTTACCTACCAGCCCCCTTTCCCACTGACTTAGTAAAGAATTTGAAATAGCAAAACGTCTGGACAAACTGAAGTTAAAGCACTCTACCACCCCCATTGACTTACCAATGAAACTCTACAAGGAGTTCTCCTCGGAACTAGCTAAATCCCTCTGCTCTATCATCAATGCTTCCCTCAGCCAAGCAAGATGCCCAGGTGACTGGAAGATCTCATATGTGTCACCAGTGCCCAAGTCAACCAGACCACAATCCTTATATGAGCTACGACCCATTGCAATCACCCCAATACCCAGCTTAATCTGTGAAAGTTTCGTGTTTGACTGGGCTTATGCTGATATTGCAGGCACCATAGATCCTCAGAAATTTGGCAATATGAAAACTTCCTCCACCACTCACTGTCTTGTCAGCTTTCTTGACTACATATACCGCCATCTGGAAAAACAAAAAAGTCTGTGGCTGTCGCCTTCATTGACTTTACCAAAGCATTTGACCAAGTCGACCACAATTTAATCAACAAAGCTATTGACCTCAAGTTTCAAAGAAGTCTTATATCATGGCTTACAGACTTCCTCAGTGACCGACGCCAAGCCGTACGCTTCCTTATGCTTATCAATGATGCCCTATGAGAAACCCCTGCTCGCTGGAAATATGTCGACGACTCCACCATTGGGATCAGTGTCAACAACTCGGCTCCCGACTACACCGCCCTCCAGGATTTATTGAACAGTCTCCAAAATTGGGCCACCAACAACCACGTCACCATCAACCATACCAAGACCATGGTTATGCACATCAACCTGTCGTCCGACGTTGTCCCACCCCCTTCCATTACTTTAGGCCCCCAACACCCCTAAGCTCCTAAGCGTCACTATAGATAACAAACTAAATTGGAAAACACACGTCAGTGAAGTTGTGAAATCCTCCTGTGTCCGTCTTCACCCCTTCCACCGACTCAAGTACATCGTAGTTCTTGCACCCGAGCTCCTCAGTGTTTACTCAACATTCATACTTCCCAAGCTCACCTATGCCCTCCCTGCCTTGTCTTCCTCCCTAAATGCCACACAACGTAAACACCTAGAAATAGTGCAAAAGAGGGCACACAAGATTATTCTCTCCCCTTCTTACTCCACACATCAAGAAGCGCTCAACACAATGACCCTCTCGGCTCTCTCGGACCATCACCACAACCTCATCTGCAAATTTGGTGAGAAGCTTCTGCACCATCCTCGACACCGACTCCTACTACCACCCGAGAACCCTCGTCCGCGAATTGCTGTTTAACACCACAACTGCATCCAGCCCATACGAGCACGTACTGATCGCTATAAGAACAGCCCAGTCCCAACCATTGTAAAAATTATCAATAACTTGTAACCAACCAGTGTATTCACTCCCAATCAATATTACCTTTTTGCACTGTCACTACTATGTTGAAATGCCCTGTAGTATGACCTTCTCCCCAACCAGTTATTATACAGTGATCCCTCGGTTAACGAGCGCCTCGGTTAACGAGATTTCGGTTTACGAATTACCTTCCATAAGATTCTTAACTTCGATTAACGAGCATTCCCTCAATTAACGAATTCCTTACGAGCGGCCCCCAACATGTTTTCGCTTGCACACTAGCTGTTGTATTAGTCCGCCAATACAGTAATCGGTTCTAGGACTTAAATTCCTTACCATTTTAGTAAATATCAAGAAGGTTGTACTATTCAATCATTTTAAAAATTTTATATTAAATTTTTTAGTAATTTTAACAATTATTGAACATAATTTAAGTACAGGAAACTAGTTTTTAGCACGCCAAACAGCCTGTCAACACACCAAACAGACGTCAGTCTCTGTGTCTTTTCAGTGGAGGTAACATCTTGCTTCAGACTCTCTTCAACATAAAAGCTTTTTTCTGTGTTTTCAGTCAAATTATTTGTTATTTTGAAATTTATTTTACATATTGATGATATATAGCGCAGTGTTAATTTAAAGAAAATAATCTTTATTTACAGCAATTAAACTTAAAATATCACGTGTTGAGATTGTTTTTTAATCCAGCATGGGTCCCAAGAAATCTAGTAAAGCGATTTCAATTCAGGTTAAGCAGGAAATAATTAGAAAACATGAAGAAGGCATTAGAACAAATGTGCTAAGCAAAGAATATGGCATGTCGACATCAACTGTGTCGACAATTCTTGCACAGAAAGACAAATTCAAGGAAGTGAAAGTGAGAGACAAATCTACCAGTGTGTTCAAAGGTAGATCCCTAATAACAGAAACAGAGAGGTTACTTCTCATCTGGATAAGGGAAAAACAGATGAAAGGTTATTCAGTTTCTACTGAATTTATTTGTGAAAGAGCCAGGGAAATGTACAAACATTTAAAGGTAGATCAACCTGGTTCTTCAGGCACAGACTTTGAAGATTTTAGGGCCAGCAAGAGCTGGTTCGAAAAATTTAAGAAAAGAAGTGACATATTTAGAGTAGTTAGGGATGGTGAGGCTGCCAGTGCTGATAAGGAAGGGGCAGCAAAGTTTTTAGTGGAATTTAAAGAACTGATGGATACTGAAACTTATCTTCCACAGCAAGTGTTCAATGTGGACGAAACTGGGCTGTTCTGGAAAAAGATGCCCAAAAGAACATTCATCACCAGAGATGAAGCCTCTTTACCTGGTCATAAACACATTAAAGACCGTCTCACTCTATTGCTTGGTGCCAATGCTTCAGGGGATTTCTGACTGAAGCCTATGCTTGTCTCCCACTCTGAGAACCCCAGGGTGTTCAAGCAACAAAAAGTGGTAAGAGGACGACTTGGAGTTTATTGTAAATCCAACCGTAAGGCATGGGTGACCAGACAGCTCTTTAATGAATGGGCTGTTGAGGTGTTTTGCCCTTCTGTGAAGAGCTACCTAACCACCAATAAACTCCCTTTAAAGGCTCTTCTCCTTATGGATAATGCCCCTGGTCATGACCCTCAACTTGCCAGAACTTTGGAGTCTCAATTTGACTTTGTCAAACTGTTGTTTTTGCCTCCCAACACTACATCAATCATACAGCCAATGGACCAGAATGTGATCAGCAACTTCAAGAAGTTGTACATGAAGAAAATGTTTAGGGGGTGTCATCAGGCAACTTCCACTGATCCTGAACTAACACTGGCACAGTTCTGGAAGACACAGTTTAACATCCTGGAGGCTGTAAAATTGATTGTGCCCTCATGGCAAGAAGTCTCCACTAGATCCCTCAATTCTTCATGGAAAGCACTGTGGCCATCAGTAGTCCATGATTTTGAGGGATTTCAAGATGAAACAAAGTTGCACCAGGAGATTGTGTCCATTGGTCAGTCATTGGGCCTTGAAGTAGAGGAGGATGATGTGGAAGAGCTTGTGATGTCTCATGAGCAGGAACTTACTCCTGATGACTTGCAGCAACTGGATGAGATGTTTGAAGCTGACAGTGGTGAGGAGGAAACGGAAAGTGATGACCATATGTCAACTTCAGAGTTGAAAGATGTTCAGGAAACTGACTTCAAGGCACCCAGATGTGGAAAAATCTGAACTAGCTTTGTGTCATGTTGAGGACACAGTGGTCTACTTCTTTAAACATCAGTTGATGAGTAGAGATGCCCCACAGACAAAAATTTAGTTTCTTCAGTAAAAGGCAGCGGGAACAAGATGCTAGCCCTCAGCCTTCCACTTCAAGAAGGAGAGAGGATGTTCCTAGTGGAGAATCTGTCAGTCCAGAGGTTCCTGACATTTTCATGGAAGGTGACTCACCTTCCAAGAAGCAGTAAAATGCTTCTCCTCCACCTCCACTTCCTTCTCTTCTCCCTTCTCCTCCTGCACCTCCCATTTCAAATTCACATCAGCATCATCATCCATGAGCCTTCTACACACACACCTCAAAGTAAGTGTACTTTACTACCTTTTTTGTTGACTTTAGGCAATTTTCGGTGAGCTGGAACCAATTACCCAAAAACCCATTGAAACAATGGTTTCGGTTAACGAGCAACCTTCTGGAACGAATTGTGCTCGTTAACCGAGGGACCACTGTATATCATATTTGTATCACTTATGTTTCTTGTACATTACGTCTTTGTCAATCAAGAGACACATTCCCAAATTATGCAAATGTATATTTTCAGCCTTCCGGCTGCCATGCTCTTTCAATAAACTGTTAATTATTATCACGCACACACACATGCACACACACACACAAATAATAATGGGAAAATCATCTCACAAATAATCAGAAACAAGACAACGAAATGTATCGAAATGTAGTAAAAAATGTGCGAGTCTAACCTCAAGTCAACTCCATACTTTGTTATTAAATCTGATTTGGTTGGATTGCCATACAGCAATTTCTTCCACGTAAAAATTACTGTCTCTAGAACAAATGGCATCTGAGTGCCAACAGGGTTGATTCGTAGATCAAACTTACAAAATTTCTTTCATGGCTATCTAGGCAACCCAACATGAAGGATGTCGGTAATTGTGGTGCAATACTGTACTTTTTTCACAATATGTATGTAGGATTGTGTGTGCATGTAACTGAGTAAAAATAAATGAAGAAAATTACGTATATCTACCCGAAAATACAAGTTGAAAAAATCATAACACCTCACAGCTTGGCCCAGTAGCCTGATGGTTACAATGATGAGCTAACCTAGCTACAATGCCATGATCAATTGCTATTAAACACTAATAATAACAGTAAATCCAGTGCAAACGACACGCTAACTAGTCGTCACTCACTCCCCTTACCCGCTCCCACTGCCAGGCATACGTATGGGAGAAATACATGACCTTTTCTCTCTTAAGTTGTTTTGGCACCTTCCTGCAGCTGGATGAAATTGGTTGAGGGCATTTGGGAGCCATCACAACCACAAGGAGCACAGTTGTTAAGAGAGCAGAGTAGTACATGCGCGAACCAGATAAGTGTTTGAACTGGACTGTCACTGAGGCGGAGTGAGCGCACTTGACCCAGCCACCTGGGATAAGAGAGACATCTTGTGGGACGACATAAAACTCGCGGGTTCCCCTTCCCTGCCGTAAAAATGCCGTGTACTTTAAAACTACCTATAGACATTCTTGGGTATATCCAGGGTGTCATTCTCGAATAATTAAAAGCTGCAAATTGTAAGGGTATGCTGTACCTCATGTATAATTCAACACAGCTTTTGAGAAATACCAAGCATAAGCCTAAACATAGTTTGTAGCAAGACAGCAGTCTCGCCAATGCATCTTGACCTTGAACATCTCCACAACAGCTGAAGCTATGAACAGTGTTACCAACTCACATTTATAAATTTTGTTAGAATCACCCCCTAAAAGTAGCTTTAACTGTACAGTACAGTGTAACATCAAAATTTAAATTGTAGGCATATAAACAGCAATATAATAAAAGCATAGAGATAGTAATAATGAATGCATAAAAAAGGAAAAAGATACAAATTAGTGTACTCACTGCATCACAGTCTCAAGAATGCTAGCCATTTAGCCTCGACGCTCACCTTAACAGCACCGCGACGCTGCCTCCCCCCCCTCCCCACTCAGCGTGTTAATTCAAGCACAGGAAGAAATGTTTATTCCCTTTATGTTTTGACCTTATCATAATCATTTTTTTATTTATTTTTGCAAGCCCAGGATAAAGGAGCTTACTGGTAAAGTTAGCCTACCACAAACGTGTACTGGGTAGCTATCGTTCACCGCAAATGACTCACAAAAATGCATGAATTTCAATCCCTCAAAAATACTATGCATATACGTATAGTTCAACCCCACACTTTTTGCATAAAAATTTTATCATAAAACTCGAGTATATACAGCAATATAGAACAATACAGTTTATCCACTCACTCTTTTAATAATATGAAATATCATAAATGTCTTAGAGAAATCAGTTTCTCAAAATGATAGGCAGACCTTTAATGAGGATATTAAAATTCTTAACAAATATAAATTTAAAAGCCTTTGGTATGATTACTGTATACACAATACTGTATATAAAATTCATACAATTATTCAAAACAATAATAACCTTGAAAATAAAACATACCTGCTCTTGTGTTGAAGGAATATTCTTATGTAGCGGCAAAGGGTGAGTCAACTGGGTCATATCAACAGTAGAAATCCCAGATGGTCCATGTCCTAATGACAGAGAAGGTATAGATGGATCTACATGTAGCAGTGCAATACTTCCACCCATACCTAGACTCGATGGCACTAGAATATGAGATGTTGGTGTAACAAGCTGAGGGGTGGAAATGTGTGATGCCTGATTCATGTTCACATTTGCACCATCTGAATTCTCATGATGCACTACATTGTTCCCAAAAATTTCATTTTTAATTAATCTAGAACTTAAACTACGAGTCAACATTTCAGACTCCTCACCATTTAAACTTTCTTCATCTTTTCTCCTTCGTCGCGCTTTCATTCTAAGAGCAATATTTTGCCGCCGTAATGAACGCTGTTCTGGAGTTTCACTAGCTCTTCTTTTCCTCATTCGCTCTGCTGCCTTTAAGCGACGTATAACCTTTTGGTCATCACTCTCTGTGGCACGTCTTAATCTCATACGGTCTGCTGCTTTCTGCCTATCAATTACTCGTTCTTCTGGAGACATGGAAGCACGACGGTTTCTTGCACGCACTGCTGCATCCTGTCGTCTTCTTATTTTCTGAATATCATCTTCGGTTGCTCTTTTATGCCGCATACGCTCTGCTTCTCTGATCCTGCGTAACCTCTTCTGCTCCTCCGACTCTTCTGCTCGTTTTTCCCTCATACGCAAAGCAATTCTAATTCGGCGTTCAACTTGAGCCTCGTCCGTCAGCCTGGAGCGACGGCGCTGCTTTGGGGAGGTTAGTTGTGGCTGCAGGCAGTTTGTGTCATCAACAGCTGCTGGTTGAAGAAGAAGCACTTGCCCAGTTCCCGGCTCTGGTGGAACAGTATTTTTGTTCATTGCCTGGAGTGATGCATTTACCTGAATGTTCATCATCAGCAGTTCTGAGGAGGCAAATTTGGTAAAATAAATAAATACAAATTGTTTTACGTAATGATACAGTAGAACCTCAGAAATCATTTATCAGGGAGTCTCAGAAAGCTGGCACAGGTACATTCAGAAAATGGTAAAAAAAAGAAAGAAAAAAAATACAGTACAATACAGTGAACTACTTTGAATACCCTGCTGCCCCCACTCTTAATGTACTGTATGCTGTGTAGTCATTAGGTGAGTTCATAATATTAGGTGCCCCGCATCGTAAGGTTCGTTCAGACCACCCCGGGCGAAACCTGTTTTTTGTTGGAAAGCACTACTATATTTTCGGTCTAGCTCTATACGATGGTAGTTTATAAGATCTCCTTACTACACTGTAAATAAGGTTGAAAGCCCTTTGAAAATAGGGTAGAACATCGATTTGTGGCAGACAGGAAAGTATGGGCTTGGGTTTTGTGTCGTCAAGTGCTCTCATCCCGTCAGTGAGAGGAGCAGGTGGCCAATCACAGCTGCCGGCCTGCAACTTCCTCCCCTGTCTTGGTCAATGACAGTGAGCGTCTGCTATCTACGTCAAGGACCCCTACAGCCAATGAGGTGGAATCCCTCTCTCCCTCTCCCTCAGTTCTCTTTTGTTGTGGCGGGATCTACACTCTGATATCTATTAAAGTAAAAAAAGCCCTAAGCGGGTGGGAGTTTTGTTGCTTCAAGTCAATATTGCAACAACCCAATACATTACTTCATGGCGCACTACCTATCATCCGAAAGTACATTCCTTTAGCTTTAAAATGCATAAAAATGAATGCTGTATCCAAAAAAAGAACGAAGTTATGCATGTTTGAAGTTGGAAAAACTTTAAATGCGGTTTTCTCGGCTTTCAAATTTTGGTGCGAATAACCCATAAGATGCGGGTCACCTCATACATTGCTGTGCTTATTGTGTGATTTTGTGGACCTGTTACATACAAAAGAACTAATATTTAAAACTGAAGACACATTTCAAGCATAAAAATGTACTGTACATTTACTCCTCATAAGTTTAGAATTCTGTCATATACACAGTATTTTTTTAGTAGGAACCATCGATCTTCTTACTTACCTACATATACACAGGAAGAAGGTATCCACTGGCTGGACAATACAGTATTCGGTTCAGAATTAAACAGGCAAATGTTGCTACGACATACTGTATACAGTACTCTGTGCAAGTGTACACATTCTATCAACTTAGTGCTTCTCTAATCATCTTTCAAAAGGTTTGTTTATTGTTAATGATCATGAGTAGCTCATATGAAATGTCAATTTCATTTTACAGTATATAAAACTCAAGGTGTGCTTAAAATAATGATCACTTATTGTTCAAACTATAATAAATTTGTTAAATGGAAAGACTGAATCAAATTTTTACAATTTAGTTTAATACAAAGATATGTTTTACTTATGCAGGCTGCCTCAGCAGGAGGAATTAGCCCAAACATGCAGGGTTTCAGTATAGTACTATACAGTAATTGTAAATTTCTATTCCAGTGGTGCACAGCTGTTTAGTAGAATTCCTTGCTGTACTGTATTCCTTAAAATAAAAAATAAATCACCATGCCACAGTAATTATGTTTACATTCATTCTACATTGTCCTGGCAAGTGGATTTGTTGTCTGTGAGTAACAACCAATACAGATATTTCTCGAAACTGTACTGCATATGAAAAGGATTCACTCCTAAAAAAATCTTTTGGATACCAAAATTTTATAAATCGAAAAGGATTTTCCTATTTCAGAAATTCAAAAGGTAAATTTAGGGATGCATTTTGGGCAGATGTACCAACACTTCCCCTAACCTAAAAACAAGTAAATTCTTCTTTAAATACAAAGCTATACATTACTGGTAACTGGATTTTTTTCATCTTAGACACGTAGCATACAGCTGCAGCAGAGATTATGTGAAGTACAAACATTAATATTTTTCTATCCAGCACATTTTCTTTAAGTTATTTATATATTTTATAAATTACTGTATTCAATACAAACCACAGGATATTAAGATACTGTTTATGTACAGTATAGATACAAATATATCCCCAAAACTAAGAGTCATCTTATCTACTGAGTACAAAATGTGAACCTTAAATTCCAGACAAATTCTGAGGCAAAAGACATCAAAGTTGATGAAGACGAAAAATCTTAAGTATAAGTGGTTGCCAATTTGAATCTTGTTTCAGTTTTTACAGTCTATTGATGCCATAGGTTACAAAGTATGTACAGTATATATTCACAGTTTGAACCCATGCTACAACTTTTAACTTGGTGCCACTTTCATATTTCATTCTTTTAGCTTGGGGAGCCTAGCTGTGTGACAGGGTGTGGCAGACTTGGAGGAACCTTTTAAAGAGGTTAAAGGACATCACAGTCACCTTTAACTGGTCTTGAGGAGAGGGAGAGTTCCCTGGGGCCAGACCTGAGTCAGGTAAAGTTTCTGTAAGTGACCTGACTCAAGTTACCTCATGATCAGCTTATATCACTATGCTGCACCCCATGTTATCATCTTGCAGGTTATTTATTACTACTGTATAATAGTGCTTAGGTGGTGAGCCTTGAGTCAGTTAGTGTTCAGTGTTTGAGGGGTTAACTTTTAGTGCAAGTATAGTCCTAAACATGAATCTTTAAGATGAAGAGTTGGGGTTGACTTACGCACCAGGCTGATTTGTATGCTGGCAAATACAGCAATATTTTATAAAATACATTATATATCTAATAAAATGTGCGAGAGGGAAAGATATTAGTGTGTGTATTTTACATAACCTCTGGTGCAGCTGTATGCTCTGTACCAGCATGGGATTTCGTAAACGTGAGAATTGCTTGTGTATCCTATATACCAAGTTGGTCACTGATTTGTCCTTTTCGTAAACAAGAAATTCTGGATAATGTACTGAAAAGTCCATAAACATAGGAATAGCAGTATTATACAGTACTGTACATGATTTTCTTTTGTAAATTCTGCTTACGTAATAACTGTGCACTACTAAAGTGAATCATGATTTATCTCGGCATAGTTTCATGGATAGGGAGAGGGGGGTCAATAGGGGGGAGGGGAGTGACCGTATCCAGAAAATTGGAAAATTCATTAATCCAGCATGTTCTGGGACCCAACATTTTTGGATTTCTGAGGTTATACCATATATAACTTCCAGAGAATAAGGCATACTACAGCCTGTATAACAAATTCAACTTATGTGAAGGAAATAACTATCAATAGTAACCCATAAAAATACTGTGCAGACACACATGAAACAAAAACAATACAAAATAAATAAATACAAATTGTAAAGGTGATGAGAAATATTGTCATTATAGGTGAATGGTAAGGGTGCCCACTGATAATGATTTAATGGGCCCATACTAAACAATACTAAAGACAGTTCAATTTAAAGCTAATTTTGTCTAGATTTAAGCAAGACCTGGTGTACTGTTGACTTATGGCAGCATCACTATGAGAATCAACCCAAAGATTAACCCAACCTCAAATTTTCATATTCCACTGCAGTACCAGTATTTTTCAAGAAGCACGCATAAAATACAAATTCTTAAAATTAAGTTTGGCAATTACTGAGGAAACTTAAATGACAATATTGCTGTCACTAATAAGTTGTTTTAATTAAGCAATCTTTTAAGTTATTTGCTTATAATATTATATGTAAATATTTGCTGAAAAAAATATCATATAACCTATAATTACTATAAATAATAAGCTTTCTACAGAAATAATATAAATGTAGAAACAGAAAGAAATGACAAGAACATAAAATAAAGTTAAAAACAGAAACGGTATAAGCTGCATGCTTAAAACAGGATAAGGAACAAGTGTGAACCTTGGTTCATCATTTGAGGGTTAACATGACCAATCCTTTTGATATAGCTTAAAAAAATCTAATGTTGTCATCACAATGGGTTGCACAGAACCAGAGATAAACAAAAATCTTTGTTTGCTGAAGTTAATAATGGTAAAAAAAATGGAGATGTTTAATATCAACTTTCTCTATCAAAGATAAAAAATATAAAATCCAATCTGCATATCACTGGTCATATCAATAAGTGACATGTCAAAGAAAACCAAAGTTCAACAAAAGGGAAAGGTGAGAAATGGAAGATTGATCCTAAAACCCAAAGTAACTTGTATATTTTAGCATTAAACCTGTAAGATTGAAAATCCAGGCAAACCTCTAGACATCTGAAACTATTGTAGGCCAAATTCATTTAGTAGCTACACTCAACCATCACGACCACGTTCCTGAGAGGGATCTTTTGAAGTAAGTCATCATTTAAGGTAGATGGTAATGAGTTATGTTGTCAAATTAGTTTGTGAGCAATGCATTTTTCAACTGAGGGCTCAGTTATAGATGGCTTTCTCAGGAATAACAATTGATTCCAGCCAATTTCAACATTACCCATTACAAGGAAGGAGGGTAGCAGAGTAATGTACAGTACTTAGTCTGGGCTCAATAAAATGGGATTTCAGTATTAATCCTCACTTAGAAACAACACCCTTCCTAAGCAACTCTCTTATCTGATGCCAGCTAAATAATGGAAAGATGTAGTGGAACTATGTGCATAAATCGCTAAAATTACATGCATCTCACTTTCTAAGTTTTCGGGTAAGGCACAAATAAATGGCCCTTGCAAGTCCACGGTGCAGCATTAGACTGGATATCAGTGTGACCATCGTCTAACTAACCAGAGAACTAGTACGGTAAGAATGGGGCAAGTGAGCCCTGTAGAATTTTCATCAAGCATCTGATGCCCTTGATGCTTGCCATATGTTGTGCTGATCAGTTATGACAATTATTCAGGGAAGCTCCACACTGACTATGAGTAAATTTAGCTAGTACAATGAAGAATAAATTACTAATCCCAAACATTCTTGGAAAAGCTAACACTAATCTAACTAGCAATTCTCAAGATATACTGTAGTCATCTATGCTGAAATAGCTGTCAGATGACAGGCTTAGTGCAGACATGCTGATG